TCATTTCAGTTGTGGAATTTTCAAATTTTCGATTTTTCTGTTTCTCGAGTTTTCAATTTTTCGATTTTTTAATTATTCAGTTTCTCAGTGTTTTAATTTCTCGATGTTTCAGTTCTTCGATTTTTTTGTTTTTTAATCTATCGAATTTAAAATTTTCGATTTTTCAATTTTTGACTTTTGAAATTTTATATTTTTCGACTTTTCGATTTCTCTTTATTTCAATTTTTCGTTTCACTTCTGGGATTTTCAAATTTTCGATTTTTTGATTCTTCAGTTTCTCAGTATTTTAATCTCTCGATGTTTCAGTTCTTTGATTTTTTATTTTAACTTTTCGAATTTAAAATTTTAGACTTTTCAATTTTTCGACTTTTCGACTTTTCGATTTTTTTTTCTTTCAATTTTAAGTTTCAATTTTGGGATTTTCAAATTTTTGACTTTTCTATTTCTCGATTTTTCAATTATTCGATTTCTGGGTTAATCAATTTTTTGATTCTTCAATTTCTCGATATTTTAATTTTTTGATGTTTCTGCTCTTGGATTTTTCTCTTTTTCAATTTTTCGATTTTTTGAATTTCGACTTTTCTATTTTACGATTTTTCAATTTTTTGTTTTTGGAATTTTAAATGTTTCGACTTTTCGTTTCTTTTTTTTTCAATTCTTCGTCGTTTCAGGTTTGGAATTTTCAAATTTTAGATTTTTCTATTTCTAGATTTTTCAATTTTTCGATTTTTTCATGTTTTGATTGCAAGATTATTCAATGTTTTGATTCTTCAATTTCTCAGTATTTTAATTTGTCGATATTTCAGTTTTTCGATTTTTCTGTTTTTTAATCTATCGAATTTAAAATTTTCGATTTTTCAATTTTTGACTTTTGAAATTTTAGATTTTTCGACTTTTCAATTTCTCTTTTTATCAATTTTTCATTTCAGTTTTGGAATTTTCAAATTTTCGATTTTTCTCTTTCTCCAGTTTTCAATTTTTAAATTTTTTGATTCTTCAATTTCTCAGTATTTTAATTTCTCGATGTTTCAGTTCTTCCATTATTCTGTTTTTTAATCTATCGAATTTAAAATTTTCGAATTTTCAATTTTTGACTTTTGAAATTTTAGATTTTTCGACTTTTCGATTTTTCTTTTTATCAATTTTTCATTTCAGTTCTGGAATTTTCAAATTTTCGATTTTTCTGTTTCTCGAGTTTTCAATTTTTCGATTTTTTGATTCTTCAGTTTCTCAGTATTTTAATTTCTCAATGTTTCAGTTCTTTGATTTTTTTGTTTTAATTTTTTGAATTTAATATTTTCGACTTTTCAATTTATCGACTTTTCGAATTTTTTTTTTAATTTTCAGTTTCAATTTTGGAACTTTCAAATTTTTGACTTTTCTATTTCTCCATTTTTCAATTATTCGAGTTCTGGGTTTATCAATTTTTTGATTCTTCAATTTCTCGATATTTTAATTTGTCTATATTTCAGCTTTTCGATTTTTCTGTTTTTTAATTTTTGAATTTAAAATTTTCGGTTTTTCTATTTCTAAATTTCTCGATTGTTCAGTTTTTTTGATTTTGAAATTTTAGACTTTTCTATCTTATAATTTTCATTTTTTCCATGTTTTGATATTTCAATTTTTTCATTTTTCAGTTTTCCGGTATTTTAAATTTTCGATATTTTATATTTTAGAATTGTTGGATTTGTCGATTTTTCAGTTTTTCGATTTTTCTTTTTTTTGCAATTTTTCGCATTTTTTATTTTTAAATTTTTTAGTGTTTCGAATTTTCGATTGTATGATTTTTTGGTTTTTTCAATTTTTCCGCCGTTTGATTATTCAGTTTTTCGATTTTTCGATTCATCAAATAAAGTTTTTCGATTTTTACTTCCCGAGCGTAAGCAAAGGAAGTATTGTAATCGAGTCCGTCGGCCGACTCTCTACTTTTACGTTTTCTCGATCTTTCATGACCCCTAGAAGACGAAGAAATAGGTCTCCCATTTCAGTCTGTCTGTCCGTCTGTCCGTCTGTCCGTCTGTCCGTCTGTCCGTCTGTCCGTCTGTCCGTCTGTCCGTCTGTCCGTCTGTTGTCACGGATTTTTATTAGACAGATAATCTCCGAAAGTACTCGACCGATTGTTGTGAAATTTTGTACTTATATTAAGAATATCATGTAGATGGTAAAACGCTAACCAAAATTTGTCGAATCATCCCCACCACTAAAGCGATGACGTCACTTCAAAATTGTACATAGTAAATGGGTTTTCAATTGTATAAAATAACATAGTCCTACACATGTAGTTTACAACTCCGAATCGACTTTTCACCCGAAACGTCCAGATTTTTGGAAAAAAAATCAAAATTATAAAACAACATTTTGAAATTTAATTTTTAATCTGCTAACCAGAATGCTTTGAAATGTTGCAGATGTTTTAAGGCTATAAAGAGCATCATAAATCTTTAGTCAAAAAATATTTGCTTATCCCCTCCAAAAACTTGATGACGTCAGCTCAAAAGTTTGTGGAATAAATCATATCTAAAATGTACAAAATATGATGAGTCTGTACTTGTGAACTATCACTCCATTAATATTTTTTGGATTTGCATATACAGGGTGACTCAAAAAAATTAATGAATGCGTAAATATATTTTATTGATTTAATCAGGAACTACAAAACCGAATGCTCTGAAATCTTGCAGATGTTTTAAGGTCATAATGAGCATAATAAATGTTTAGTCAAAATATATTTGCTTATCCCCTCCAAAAACTTGATGACGTCAGCTCGAAAGTTTGCCGAATAAATCATATCTAAAATGTACAAAATATGATGAGCCTGTACTTGTCATTTATCACTCCATTCATATTTTTTGGATTTGCATATACAGAGTGACTCAAAAAAATTAACGAATGCGTAAATTTATTTTATTGATTTAATCAGGAACTACAAAACCGAATGCTTTGAAATCTTGCAGATGTTTTAAGGTTATAAAGAGCATAATAAATTTTTAGTCAAAATATATTTGGTTATCTTCTACAAAAAACTGATGACGTCAGCTCAAAAGTTTTCCGAATAAATCGTATCTAAAATGTACAAAATATGATGAGTCTATACTTGTGATTTATCATTCCATTCATATTTTTGGATTTGCATATGCAGGGTGACTCAAAAAAATTAATGAAGGCGTGAATTTATTTTATCGATTTAATCAGGAATTACAAAACCGAATGCTTTGAAATCTTGGGAATATTTTAAAGTTATAATAAGCATGGTAAACTTTTGTTCAAAATGTATTTGTTCATCCCTCCTAAAAAAATTGATGACGTCACCCTTAAATTTTGCTGAATAAATCCTATCTAAAATGCAAAAAATATGATGAGTTTGTACTTGTGATTTATCATTCCATTCATATTTTTTAGATTTTCTTAAGAGGTGGTTCAAAAAAATTAATGAAGTCAATTTATTTTATTGATTAAATTAAAGGCAACACTTATTATTAGTACTACACCCCAACCAACCCAATTTGGTAGACACAAAATTTGTTAAAGGAAAAACTCGGTTGAAACATAAGGGTAGCACGCTTATTTACATCGACTTTAACATTACAGACCTGCATTTGTTTTATGCGTTCACTTGATTCCGCGAATGTGAAATAGACATGTTTATAATCAACCAATTGTGAATTTCACCGTCAAGAATTAAAATAAAACCCAATGTTTTATATAATAAGCGGAAGTCGAAGCAATAAAACCGACGGTCGTTTTGTTTACAGTTTCTGTGTTTGGCTCTCACGTATGCTGTTACGCCTGTCATTTTAAATTAACAATGTTTATACATACACGATTTTCAGTTGCCTCTGATACGTAGGTATACGTGAGTAAATTGTTTCGTTATTTTATTGATTATTACAAATCAATATTCAAACGACCCAATTCATTTTCCCGAAAATTTGAGAATATAATAATTTTATTCTTAGTATTACACTACATCTATCCCAACTGATATACGTGTCCTTGCAAAAATGTTGATGACGTCATTGCAATTTTTTTTTAAATTCCCACTACAAAAATGTAATGAGAAAAAAACACAATAGGCATGCAGTCGTCAAGTTTCCGACAGCGAGGGAAGTACTGTCTAAACTCTTTAGACCAATTTTTCAAACTCCTGATTCCTCAATTTTTTTTTCGAGTTCTCGATTTTCCGATATTTCAATAACACAATTTTTCAATTATTCCACTTTCAGCGTTTCGAAGTTCTCGATTCGTCAATTTTTCGATTAATGGATTTTTCCGACTCCTTGATTTTTCGACATTACAATTTTTTTATTTTCCCATTTCTCGATTTCTTAATTTTTCAGTTTCTTACTTCTTCAATTTGTAAAATTTTTGATTTTTCAACTTTTCTATTTTTCGACTTACCGATTTCTCGACTTTCCAATTTTTCGATTTCTGGTTTTATCAATTTTTGATTCTTCAATTTTTCAATATTTTTAATTCTCGATGTTACTGTCCTTTGATTTTTCCGTTTTTTTATTTTTGACTTTTGATTTTTCGATTTCTGTATTTCTCGATTTGTCAGTTTCTTTGATTTTTGAAATTCTAGATTTTTCGATTTTCAATTTTTCAATTTTTCGAATTTTTTAATTTTAAAATTTTCAATTTTTGGATGTTTCGAATTGTCGATGTTTTGATTTTTCAACTCTTCAGGTTTAGATTTCTCAGTTTTTCAGTTTTTTGATTTTTTAAATTTTTGGTTTTTTCAATTTTCAATTTTTCGAGTTTTGTTGTTTCGTTTTCTCGATTTTTCAGGTTTTCGGTTTCTAGATTTCTCAAGATTTGGATTATGGAAATTTTTTAGGTTTTTTGATGTTGTGATTTGTAATTGTTAATATTTCAATTTTCCGATTTCTCGACTTCGACATTTCGATATTTCGGTTTTTTATTTATAGTTATATCCGCGTTGGTGGGGATGATCAGACAAATTTTGGTTAGCCTTTTAGCATCTGCACGATATTCCTACTATGCGTACAAAATCCGAAAACAATCAGTCCAGTAGTTTCAGAGATTATCTTTTGGATAAATATCGACGCAGACGCGGAATTATCAGACAACGGCGGCAGACAGATAGACGGAAACAAGACACCAATGTTTACCTGAAACGTCGAGGAAACATTAAAGTACCCAGTCGCCCGTTGGACTCGATTACAATACTTCCTTAGCTTACGCTCGAGAACTAAAAATCTAAACTAAAATGACTAATTAACTTCTTTGCAGTTTTATTCCGTTTCGACCACCCAGAGCCCTCACTCACCACAAGATGACAACAATTTTTTGAAAAAACAGCTCGAACTTTGCTTAAAAATTAAAGAAACTGAAAGTCGCTTGTCGACTGTGGAACAGCTGCTTCACACACAGAAAATTGCTGCCGACGAAAAAAACAGAAGTGAAACTCTGATTACAAACCTCGCAAAAACTGAACAATTACTGGAAAACCATCAGAAACGTATTCAAGAACTGACCGAAGAAGTACGTTCCAAAGATCTAAAAATAACTGCTTTAGAAAAATCCTTAGACGATCGGAGGTTGGTCAAAAATTGTAAGGAAATCCAAGAACAAGGAAACCACGCATCCGGGGTTTATCGTGTTCGGCCAAAATTGGAAGCTTTTGATGTATTCTGTGATATGGAGACAAGAGGGGGCGGATGGACTGTGTTCCAGAGGAGAGTAGATGGTTCTCAGGATTTTAACTTGACTTGGACTGAGTATAAGGAAGGATTTGGTAACCTGAGAAGAGAATTTTGGTTAGGGTTAGAACATTTGCATCAACTAACGGGTAAAGTTTTCTAAATAAGTCAAGTGCGATTAAAACACGTCTTTTACTAGCTTCTGGAAGTAATCAACTTTTGGTAGAGCTGGTCGATCGAAACTTTAGCAAAGCTTACGCTCTTTATGACCGTTTTAACATTGCTGGGGAAGGAAAAAGCTATAAGTTGGGAGCAGTGACTAACTATCGGGGTACGGCTGGAGATTCCTTGTCGTATCACAATGATCAATCATTTTCTACAAGAGAGAAAGACACGTGTGCGGCTCATCATGGTCAGTTTTGTAACAGTTCTTTATACAAAAAAAAATTTCAGTTTGTTGTTTATAGGGGGTGGTTGGTGGTTCCATAGTTGCCTTTATAGTAATTTGAACGGGGTATACTTTAAAGGTGGGGTAAATTCTGGAAGAGCCCAAGGCATAAATTGGTATACTTTCAGTACGGATGGATTTAGTCTTTTGGAGTCGAAAATGATGATTAGGCCACCACAATAGAGTTGATCGTGGTTTACAAATTACCAGTTGTGCTATTATTCATGTTTCTATTATTACGATGTCAATAAAAATACAAAAAATTGGTGCAAAGTTATTTTTTCTTCGAAACATGGTTATTAAATAATATAAGTAATAATTCCTCGTCTAAAAAAATTATTTCTTATTTCAGAAGAAAAAAAGAGAACGGACGGGTTAGAATTTTCTGTCTTTTAATTTTTCGAATTTTCGACTTTTCGACTTTCGATTTTTCAATTTTTTGACTTTTGAAATTTTAGATTTTTCTCTTTTTTTCAATTTTTCATTTCAGTTTTGGGATTTTCAAATTTTTGGTTTCTGGGTTAATACATTTTGTGAGTCTCGTATTTCTCGATTTTTTAATTTTTTGTCTTTTGAAATTTTAGATTTTTCGACTTTTCGATTTGTCTTTTTTAATTGTTGCTTTCAGTTTCGGGATTTTAAAATTTTCGATTTTTCTGTTCCTCGATTTTTTGATTTTTCAATTTCTGAGTATTTTAATTTCTCGATGTTTCAGTTCTTCGATTTTTGTGTTTTTTAATCTTTCGAATATAAAATGTTCGATTTTTCAACATTTTGAGTTTTAAAATTTAAAATTTTTCGACTTTTCAATTCCGTTTTTTTCAATTTTCCGTTTCAGTTTTGGGATTTTCAAATTTTTGATTTCTGGGTTAATACATTTTTTGAGTCTTCGATTTCTCGATATTTTAATTTTTCGATGTTTCTGTCCTTCTATTTTTCTGTTTTTCCATTTTTCGAATTTTTGAATTTTCGACATAATATTTCCAGTTTTTCGATATTTTAATTTTTTGTCTTTCGAAATTTTAGATTTTTCGACTTTTAGATTTGTCTTTTTTAATTGTTGGTTTCAGTTTTGGGATTTTAAAATTTTCGATTTTTCTGTTCCTCGATTTTTTGATTTTTCAATTTCTGAGTATTTTAATTTCTCGATGTTACAGTTCTTCGTTTTTTCTGTTTTTTAATATTTCCAATTTAAAATGTTCGATTTTTCAACATTTTGAGTTTTAAAATTTAAAATTTTTCGACTTTTCAATTTCGTTTTTTTTTCAATTTTTCGTTTCAGTTTTGGAATTTTCAAATTTTCGATTTTTTTGTTTCTCAATTTTTTGATTCTTCAATTTCTCAATATTTTAATTTCTCAGTGTTTCAAATATTCGTTTTTTGTGCTTTTTAATTATTCGAATTTAAAATTTTCGATTTTTTAATTTTTTGATTTTTCAAATTTTAGATTTTTCGACTTTTAGATTTCTCTTTTCATAAATTTTCGTTTCAGTTTTGGGATTTTCAAATTTTCGATTATTCTATTTCCCCATTTTTCAATTTTTCGATTTCTGGGTTAATCAATTTTTTGATTCATCAATTTTTCGATATTTTAATTTTTCGATGTTCCTGTGCTTCGAATTTTCTGTTTTTTAATTTTTCGAATTTTCGACTTTTCGACTTTCGATTTTTGTTTTTTCAATTTTTTGACTTGTGAAATTTTAGATTTTTCGACTTTTCGATTTCTCTTTTTTTTTTTCGTTTCAGTTTTGGGATTTTCAAATTTTTGATTTCTGGGTTAATACATTTTTTGAGTCTTCGATTTCTCGATATTTTAATTTTTCGATGTTTCTGTCCTTCGATTTTTCTGTTTTTCAATTTTTCGAATTTTTGAATTTTCAATTTCTGAGTATATTAATTTCTCGATGTTTCAGTTCTTCGATTTTTGTGTTTTTTAATCTTTCGAATTTAAAATGTCCGATTTTTCAACTTTTTGAGTTTTAAAATTTAAAATTTTTCGACTTTTCAATTTCGTTTTTTTTTTAATTTTTCGTTTCAGTTTTGGGATTTTCAAATTTTCTGTTTCTCAATTTTTTGATTCTTCAATTTCTCAATATTTGAATTTCTCGATGTTTCAGTTATTCGTTTTTTGTGCTTTTTAATTATTGGAATTTAAAATTTTCGTTTTTCAATTTTTTGATTTTTCAATTTTTTGATATTTCAGATTTTAGATTTTTCGACTTTTAGATTTCTCTTTTCATAAATTTTCATTTCAGTTTTGGGATTTCCCCATTTTTCAATTTTTCGATTTCTGGGTTAATCAATTTTTTGATTTATCAATTTTTCGATATTTTAATTTTTCGATGTTCCTGTGCTTCGAATTTTCTGTTTTTTAATTTTTCGAATTTTCGACTTTTCGACTTTCGATTTTCGATTTCTCAATTTTTTGAATTTTGACATTTTAGGTTTTTCGACTTTTCGATTTCTTTTTTTTTCAATTTTTCGTCTCAGTTTTGGGATTTTCAAATTTTTGATTTCTGGGTTAATACATATTTTGAGTCTTCGATTTCTCGATATTTTAATTTTTCGATGTTTCTGTCTTCGATTTTTCAGTTTTTTAATTTTTCGAATTTTTGAATTTTCGACATATTTTCAATTTTTAGATTTTGTAATTTTTTGACTTTTTGAAATTTTAGATTTTTCGACTTATCGATTTCTCGATTTTCCAATTTTTCGATTTCTGATGTTATCAATTTTTCGATATTTTAAATTGCGATGTTTCTGCCCTTTGATTTTACTGTTTTTCAGTTTTTCGAATTTTTTAATTTTAGCCTTTCGATTTTTCGATTCTGGATTTCTCGGTTTGTCAGTTTGTTTTAATTTTTGGAATTTTAGATTTTTCGATCTTCAATTTTTCAATTTTTCGATGTTTTGATATTTCAATATTTTTTTTTAGATTTCCCGATTTTTCAGTTTCAGGGCTTAATAATATTCTTCTTTCGAATGGGAATGGAAACTAGCAGAATCTAGGATGTGAAAAATGTAAAAAAGCGCTAAGGGCGGGGCTAAGTTTATCTTAAAATTAAATTTTCTCGATTTTTAATTTTTCAATTTTTCGATTTTCGTTTGCCGGTTTTTCAGGTTTGTGATTTTAATTTTCTTTTTCCCGACTTTCTACTACAATTACTCGTTTTATCATTTCTTTGTTACTTTTTCAATGTTTGTTTGGGTTTCATAATTTTTCGTTATTTCAGTTTCAATTTTTTCAGTTTTGCAATTTTTCGATGTTATAAGTTTCCATTGTTAGATTTTCAGTTTCTCAAATTTTAATTTTTCGATTGTTCAATTTTTCGTTTCTTCTATTTTTCTCGATTTTTTACCACAATTTTCCGTTTTTTATTTGCTTTCTATTTTTTCAAATCACTTATTTTTTCTTTGATTCAATTTTTCAAATTTTCAAACTTTGATTTTTCAATCCCTCGATTTTCCAATTTTTTCATTTTTCAATCTTGTAATTTTTAAATTTCCAACTATCCAATTTTCCGATTTCTTTAACTCCTAAAACTCAAATATCGAAAAATTGATAAAACGCTAAATCGTAGAAAAATTGAAGGATCGAGAATTCGAAAAGGCGAAAAATCGGAAAATCGAAAGTTTAAAAAATCGAAAATTGAAAAATCAAGAACTTGAAAAATCGCACAATTGTGAAATTGAAAAATTGTAAACATGAAAAATCGAAACATAGAGAAATCAAGAAGGCGAGATTCCGAAACATGGAAATGTCGGGAAATCGAGAAATGGGAAAATTAAAAAAATCGAAATATCTATAAGTCAAAAGTTGAAAAATGCAGAAATCGGAAAATCGAAAGATCGAAATACCCAAAAATAGAAAAAGAAAAGTCAAAAATTAAAAAATTTAAACATCGAAAAATAAAAAATCGTAAAACTGAAACAGAGTAATTGAAAAATTGAATAATCGAGAAATCGGAACATAGAAAAATTAAAAATCAAAAACTGAAAAATTCCAAAACTGAAATATCAAAAAATTAAGATATCTAAACATGAAAAACGAGAAATTTAAACATTAAAAAGCTGAAAAATCGAAATATCGAAAAGTTGAAAAGTCAAAACTTCGAAAAATCAAGAAAACGAAAAATTCTTTCATCCACAAATTAAAATATCGAAATTTAAGAACGCCAGAAATTGAAAATATGAAAAATTGAAAAATCCAAAATTTAAAATACCGAAAAATTCAGCAATCGAAACTTGAAAAATCGAGACATCAAAAAAATCGAAAATTTGAAAAATTGATTAATCGAGATCTCAAAATATCGAAACTTTAGAAACCACAAAAAATGGAAAACTATATAAATAAAGAATGGAAAAATTCAAACATCGTCTACCTGAAACGTCGGAAAATTGAAAATAGAGAAACTGAAAAACTAAAGAATGGAGAAATTGAAAAATCGAGAAATTTAAAAATCAAAAAATTACAAAACTGAAATATCGAAAAATTCAGAAATAAAACTTGAAAACCCACAGTTTTTCATTATTCAATTTTCAGTTTCCCAAATTTTAATTTTTCCATTTTTTAATTGCAAACTTTGAAAAATTGAAAACTCGAAGAACTGAAGACACGAAAATTGAAACACTGAAAAAGTAAAAATTGAAAAATTTAGAAATAAAAAAATTATAACCCGAAAAATTGGTAAAAAGAAAAAAAATAATCGAAACGAAAAATTGGAAAACACAGAAATTTTAAAATCGAAAAATTGAAGAATCGAGAATTCGAAAAGGCGAAAAATCAGAAAATGTAAAGTTTAAAAAATCGAAAAATTGAAAGAAGCAAAATTTAAAGATCGAAAAATTGAAAATTCCTGAAAAGCAAAATGGAATGGAAAAATCAAAATCTGAAAAATAAAAAAAAAACAGAAATCGAGAAATGGAAAAGCTAAAATTTAATATATCATTAAAGAAAAATATAAATATATTGAAAAAAAACACAAATATCGAAAAATTGGTAAATCGAATAATGGAAGAAAAATTGAATCGAAACGTTAAAAAATCCTAAAATCAAAACATCGAAAAACTGAGGAATCGAAATTTAAAAAAAATGAAAAATTGAAAAATCAAAAACCTAAAAAATCGAAAAAATTGAAGAATTGGAAACCTGAAAAACTGAAATATCTGGGGATTAAAAAATCGAAAAATCTGTAAGTCGAAAGGTCAAAAAATCGAGAAATCGAAAAGTCGAAAAATTTATTAATGGGGAAATCAGAAATTCAAAAAATTTAAAAATCCAAAATTTGAAAAATCCACAAACCGAAAAAACTAAACTTAAAAGAATCGAAACATTAAAATATTGAAAAATTGAAAAACCCAGAAATAAAAAATATAAATATTAAGTTTGGGAATTTTTCCACCGAAAACTTGAAAAATCGAGAAATCAAAAATCGAAAAGTCCAGATGTGGAGAAATGAAATGTTCCAAAAATGTGATATTTAAAAATTTGGAAACTCGAAACATCGAGACACTTAAAAACCAAGGAAAACGGAAAATCGAGAAAAGAAAAAAATTGAAAAATCGGAACATCCAAAAAACAAGAGACCGAAAAATCGAAAAACCCGGAAGTCGAAAAATAGAAAAATTAAAAAAGCTTTTTAAAATCTAACTAAAAAAATCTATAAATCATAAAATTTGAAATAAAAAAATTTGGGCAACCGAACAATTGAAATATTGAAACATCGAAATCTCGATATACATATCGAGAAACCGAAAAGTTGAAAAACTGGAAAATCCAAAATATAAAACTGAGGAATTGAAAAATCCGAAAATGCAGAATTTAGAATATCGAAAAACCGAAAAATCATAAAAAAGAGAAATCGAGAAAACGAAAAGCTAAAATTTCAAAAATCGAAAACTGCCAAAACTCAAATATCGAAAAATTGATAAAACGCTAAATCGTAGAAAAATTGAAGGATCGAAAATTCGAAAAAGGCAAAAAATCGGAAAATCGTAAGTTTAAAAAATCGAAAAATTGAAAAATCAAGAACTTGAAAAATCGCACAATTGTGAAATCGGAAAATCGAAAGTTTAAAAAATTGAAACATCGAGAAATCAAGAAGGGGAGGTTCCGAAACATGGAAAAGTCGGGAAATCGAGAGATGGGAAAATTAAAAAAATCAAAATATCTATAAGTCAAAAGTTGAAAAATGCAGAAATCGGAAAATCGAAATAAATAAATAAATAAATAAATAAATAAAGTTTATTGCCCAACAGAACTACACATTCCAGTTACAGGACAATTATAAAGAATATAAAAACAATGACAACAATTCAGAATCAAAGAAAATAACAAATTAATAAATTAAATGCATAAATAATCAAAGATCTCAATATAATGAAACATAAGAACAGTAACTTAACTTAAATAAAATTAAAATAGAAATAAATGAATGAATGAATAAATTAAAGCCGAAATAAATACCTACATTTATCTGCAATATCAAAAATCAAACACACAATCTGTAAATCTAGGCATATACATCAAGAAGTAAATAACTTAAATTAAAATACAACAGTATGAAAACCATATCTGAAAGTAAAGTGTAAACTACTTAAGCTTAATTCTAACAGTGTCTTTTATAGACTTAAGGCTAGTGTTAAAAATGTCAAAATCGGAATTCATTTCTATTTCTTTTAAAAAATAACTTATTACATATATAGGTGCTTTTCTCCCAAAATTAGTTCTAGCAATGCTAGTGTATAATGTTACAGAATGCCTGCTGCTAGTTCTAGGTACCAGAAAGGATAAAGAATTAGTTAAGGCCCTGCAATCAATTTGATTATTTAATAATTTATATAAAAAGACGATAACGCCAGTAACACGTCTACAAAATAATGAACTCATATCAAATTTTTCTAGTAGAGCTGTTTGCGGATAATTTCTCGTTGGCCATGTTTTCTGTTCCTTAAAATAGAGATACTTTAAAAATCTGCGCTGTATGTTCTCAAGGCATACTACTTGATAGTTGTAATAAGGAAACCAAGCTAACGCACAGTATTCTAATTTAGAGCGCACCAAAGCATAGAACAAAGTTTTCAAAGCTTGAATGCTAGTGAAATCTTTGCAGTTTCTAATAAGGAACCCTAGTGATCTTTTAGCTTGTGAAGTAATGCTCTCCACATGTTCTGCAAAACTGAACTTATTATCATACAAAACACCTAAATCCAAAATGGAAGAGCATTTCTGTAAGCTGTGATGATTGATTTTGTAATCAAACTCGCATACATTAAGCTTGTGTGTGAACGAAATAATAAAGGATTTATTCTCATTTAAAGGTAAAAAGTTGAGCAATGACCAAGACACCAAATTATTTATGTCTTTTTGAAGAAGCAAGGAGTCACTAATACCACTAATTTCACGGTATATTTTAATGTCATCTGCGAAAATGAGAACTTTTGAGTAGCGAATACAATCTAACACATCGTTAATAAATAATGTGAATAGCAAAGGACCAAGAGTGGAGCCCTGCGGCACTCCAGCAACTGTGATGTAACTGTTGGACTTAAATCCATTTACTACCACAAAATTGTTGCGCTTAGTCAAATAAGATTCAAAAAGATTTGTGAGAGAATTAGAGAAACCAATATTCGACAGCTTTCTTAATAAGAGCTGGTGGTTGACTCTGTCAAAGGCCTTTGAAAAATCACCATACATCACGTCCAATTGACCTCTGTTATCCAAAGCCTGAGATATATCTTGGGAATAGCAAGTTAAATTCGTTAAAGTGGATCTGCCCATGGTAAACCCATGTTGGCCCTCATTTACTAACAACTTAGTTTGGAAGGAGATCTGATTAAAAAGAATACGTTCAAATATTTTTGAAAAATTGCACAGCAACGAAATAGGTCTATAATTGCTCACTGCTGAAACATCACCACTCTTGAAAATGGGCACAATCTTGGCGGTTTTCCACTTATCCGGAAAGCATGAAGTTTTTAAAATTATATTAAAGATATGCATTAGGGGCTTAACGAAAACATTAGAACAGTCTTTAACCAGAAAACTGGGAACTTGATCATCTCCAGCAACTTGACTATCCTTAAGTAATTTTATTGCCCTGCTTACATCATCTTCAGAAATAACCACATTAATGCAACTATTACTAATACCTGTAAGCTGACTTGAATGAGCAAAACTATTCAATGAAGGATTATGAAAAGACGAAGAAAAGAATTTAGCAAAGCAATTAACAATATCAGCTGGGTTATCATGAAAATTATGATTAAGGTGAACTTTATTGGGAATATTGGAGCGCCCCTTTTTTTCTTTGATATACGACCAGAAGTATTTAGGATCACGCAGTAAAGCATGCTGAACATTTTTAATGTAGTTATTAAAATCCCGACGCAAGAGTTGTTTAACAATACGACGTAAAGAACTGAAGTGATTTCGAAGATGACAGGAAGGCTTTCGTTTGATTTCTCTAAACACTTTATGCTTCAGAATGATTTGTTGTCTAAGTTCAGTAGTATACCAACTCGGGAAACTGAATTTGGAACATTTAAACAATGGTACATGTTTATCAAACAATGAGTACAATATTCTGTATAACGTCTCACAGGCACTATTCACATTAGTGGACTCATACAGGACATCCCAATTAGTGGTTAATAGACCATTATATAAAGAAACATAGTCCGCCTTTTTAAAGTTATAAGTTTTTACATCTGTACACATAGACAAATTTTCGTAGGTACCAGTTTTTAAAACCAAATTAATATTAAGCGCAGGATGGTGTCGATCTTCTGGCACAATAGGACAGGTGTCCTGTTCAACCAAACATTTGCCGTAATTGGTAAAAACTAGGTCCAGTAATACCTTATTACAGTTACGAATATTGTTATACTGTGTAAGGTTCAAAAAAGACATCATATTAAATACTAAATTAGATTTTGAATCCTTTACATTAATCGAAAAAGTAGGAGCATTGAAGTCACCAATTATAAGAATATTATCTAATTCAACAGCAATATTTTCAAAACATTCTAAAAATAATTCATATTCTTGAATGGACACATCCGGAGGAATATATATCACAAAAATAAATAAAGAACTACGTCCACAACATAACTTACAAGCAACTATATCAATAAGATGAAAAGCGTCGAAAACTGATAAATCAACACTCGACACAGGAAATTTGTCACTAACTGCTAAGACCACCCCTCCACCTCTTTGCCGATTACTACATGTAAAATTACGATCGGCACGAAACACACAATAACTAGATGGCATAAATTCACAATTACTGATTGATGAGTCAAGCCATGACTCAGTTAAACAAATGACATCATAATCCGAAACATTTAAACAAAAAAATACCTCATTAACTCTCGACCTAATGCTGCGAACATTTTGGTAATAAATAGGTAGATAATCATTACCACAACTGTTGGGCCGGTTTAGTTTTAAGTAACATTCGTCGCTCTCTTCATGATGGAGTTTCTTCAAATTAACTCCGTCCCTGCATTTTTTCCTAAAAAATTCTTCTTTGGAAAATTAAACCGTCTTACACACACACCTTGTGGCCAAAAATCTTCACGTAATAAATTGTCCTTCAGACTAAAGTTTACACCAACTTTAAAGGCATCATATGTTCCCTGCAGCTTAAGATTTTCGACTATGACCTCATCAGTGGACAACTTTTTGGTTATATAAGCTTTGACACTACTAGTCTCAATGTTTTTAACAACTTTTCCGACGTAGAACCATGCTCTTTTAACGTAAGTAGAACGAAATTCACCATCATCTTCTTGCTTCGAAGTTCCAGTTATAGTGGGTACTTGTTTTCTACGATTGCTTCGATTTCTTCTTAGTTCCATCCACGGATTTTCCACTTTGTCATGAAAATTTATTTCGTCGTCCCTACTCACACGAAATTCATCTGTTTGTTTATTGGTAACAGTAGTTGACTCCTTTTTTTGAATTTTCTTTCCACGATTTCTTGCGCTGTTCTTGTTATCGTTATCGGTGCTTCTCTCACCTTCAGTGAAAGGTTTATTCAAGTTCACATCAACTTTATCACGAAAATTCGGAAAATGTAATGACTGACTTGGCTTATCAATTGATTGTGTAATGACTGACGACCATTTAGGAACTGTAGATTTTATTTCTTGAGAAGAAAAGAGCTTTGGAGCAAGACTGGGGTTACTTTGTGTCATTAATTTAATCAAGTCCACATTAGTTTCTTTTAAATCTCGAACTTCCATACGCAACAACTCAATTTCATGCATTAAGGGCCGAGTTACCTTTTGGATAATCTTTTCAATATCTTCATGGGAAAATTCAAATATTTGCGACTTGTTACTTGCATTATCCACACTTTCAGCATTATCGCAACAGATTATTTGCGCATCACCTAGGTACTGCACATTTTTTAATAATTTCACACAGCTGGGATGACTGAGCGAATTGCACTTAACACATTTAAGCCCTGTCACGGGTATAATTTTACATTTCTTACACGCATCCCCAGAGGGATTGTTGGAAACGTCCGCACTCTCCGGACGCATAGCGCAGAAATACCCAAAAATAGAAAAAGAAAAGTCAAAAATCCAAAAATTTAAACATCGAAAAATAAAAAATCGTAAAACTGAAACAGAGTAATTGAAAAATTGAATAATCGAGAAATCGGAACATAGAAAAATTAAAAATCAAAAACTGAAAAATTCCAAAACTGAAATATCAAAAAATTAAGATATCTAAACATGAAAAACGAGAAATTTAAACATTAAAAAGCTGAAAAATCGAAATATCGAAAAGTTGAAAAGTCAAAACTTCGAAAAATCAAGAAAACGAAAAATTCTTTCATCCACAAATTAAAATATCGAAATTTAAGAACGCCAGAAATTGAAAATATGAAAAATTGAAAAATCCAAAATTTAAAATACCGAAAAATTCAGCAATCGAAACTTGAAAAATCGAGACATCAAAAAAATCGAAAATTTGAAAAATTGATTAATCGAGATCTCAAAATATGGAAACTTCAGAAACCACAAAAATTGAAAAATTATATAAATAAAGAACGGAAAAATTGAAACATCGTCTACCTGAAACATCGGAAAATTGAAAATAGAGAAACTGAAAAACTAAAGAATGGAGAAATTGAAAAATCGAGAAATTTAAAAATCAAAAAATCAAAAAATTGCAAAACTGAAATATCGAAAAATTCAGAAATAGAAGCTTGAAAACCCACAGTTTTTCATTATTCGATTTTCGGTTTCCCAAATTTTAATTTTTCCATTTTTTAATTCCAAACTTTGAAAAATTGAAAACTCGAAGAACTGAAGACACGAAAATTGAAACACTGAAAACTAAAAATTGAGAAATTTAGAAATAAAAAAATTATAAACCGAAAAATTGGCAAAAAGAAAACAAGAATCGAAAGGAAAAATTGGAAAACACAGAAGATGTAAAATCGAAAAATTATAGAATATTCAAAGTTGTAAATTCGAAAACCTGTAAAATTGAAATATTGAAAATTTGAAAAATCGAATAAACGAAAAAGCTTTCAAAGCCAATAATTGAAAAATGGAAAAGTTCTAAGTTCTTACAATTGAAAAAGTAAACAATCGAAAAGAAACAAAAACGAAAAAAAAATCTAAAAATTGGAAATTCACATTGAAAACCTGAAAAATTTAAACTTGACTGTATATTTTTTTACTTAAATGTTTTATAATTTTTCGGAGTTCTGTCGAAATAACCTACGGCCAATTATTTAAAGTTTAGCATTTAGTCAGTAAACTTTTGTTAAAACTGTAACTGTTGTTAAACAGTGAACAGATAAAATGAACACCCTGTACTCGAAGAACTGAAGACATGGAAGTTGAAACAATGAAAAACTAAGAATTGAGAAATTTAGAAATAAAAAAATTATAAACCGAAAAATTGGCAAAAAGAAAAAAAGAATCGAAACGAAAAATTGGAAAACACAGAAATTGTAAAATCGAAAAATTGAAGAATCGAGAATACGAAAAGACGAAAAATCAGAAAATGTAAAGTTTAAAAAACCGAAAAATTGAAAAAAGCAAAATTTAAAGACCGAAAAATTGAAAATTCCTGAAAAGTAGAATGGAATAGAAAAATTAAAATCTGAAAAATAAAAAAAAAAAAAAATTGAGAAATGGAAAAGCTAAAATTTAATATATCATTAAAGTGAAATATAAAAATATTGAAAAAAAAAACACAAATATCGAAAAATTGATAAATTGGTAAATCGAATAATGGAAGAAAAATTGAATCGAAAAGTTCAAAAATATCAAAACCAAAACATCGAAAAACTGAGGAATCGAAAATTAAAAAAAATGAAAAATTGAAACATCGAAAAAATTGAAGAATTGGAAACCTGAAAAACTGAAATATCTGGGAATTAAAAAATCGAAAAATCTGTAAGTCGAAAGGTGGAAAAAGTTATTAATGGGGAAATCAGAAATTCAAAAAATTTAAAAATTCAAAATTTGGAAAACCCACAAACCGAAAAAACTAAAATTAAAAAAATCGAAATATTAAAATATTGAAAAATTGAAAACCTCAGAAATAAAAATTTAAATATTAAATTTGGGAATTTTTCCACTGAAAACTTGAAAAATCGAGAAATCAAAAATCGAAAAGTCAAGATGTGGAGAAACGAAATGTTCGAAAAATGTGATATTTAAAAATTTCGAAAATCGAAACATCGAGACACTTAAAAACCAAAAAAAACTGGAAATCGAGAAAAGAAAAAAACTGAAATATCGAAACAAGGAAAAACTGGAAAATCGCAAAATAATATAAGCCTGAATAGAAAAATTAAAAAAAAAATTAAATTAAACATAAAAAAATCTATAAATCATAAAATTTAAAATAAAAAAAATTGGGCAATTGAACAATTGAAAAATCGAAACATATCGAGAAACCCAAAAATTGGAAAACTGGAAAATCCAAAATATAAAAACTGAGGAATCGAAAAATCCGAAAATGCAAAATTTAGAAAATCGAAAAACCGAAAAATCATAGAAACGAGAAATCGAAAAGCTAAAATTTTAAAAATCGAAAAATTAAAATATCAAAAAGTTGAAGAACAGAAAGATTGAAAACTCCCAAAACTTAAATATCGAAAAATTGATAAAACGATAAATCGTAGAAAAATTGAAGAATCCAGTATTCGAAAAGGCGAACAATCGAAAAATCAAATATTTAGAAAATCGAAAAATTGAAAAATCAAGATCTTGAAAAATCTCAAAATTGTGAAATTGAAAAATGGTAAACATGGAAAAGTCGAGAAATCGAGAAATGGGAAAATTAAAAAAATCGAAATATCTGTAAGTCAAAAGACGGAAAATGCAAAAATTAGGAAATCGGAAAATCGAAGTACCCAAAAATAGAAAAAGAAAAATCAAAAATCCAAAAATTTAAATATCGGAAAATTAAAAAATCGTAAAATTGAAACAACAGAGTAATTGAAAAATTGAATAATCGCGAAATCGAGACACTCAAAAATCCCAAAATCAAAACATTGAAAACTGAGGAATCGAAAATTTAAAAGAGTTAAAAATTGAAAAATCAAAAACCTGAAAAATCGAAAAAATTGAAGAATTGGAAACCTGATAAACTGAAATATCTGTTAATTAAAAAATCGAAAAATCTGTAAGTCGAATTGTCAAAAAATCGAGAAATCGAAAAGTCGAAAAATTAATATTAATGGGGAAATCAGAAATTCAAAAAATTTAAAAATCCAAAAATTGAAAAACCCACAAACCGAAAAAATTAAATTAAAAAAATCGAAACATTAAAATATTGAAAAATTGAAAAACCCAGAAATAAAGAATTTAAATATTAAATTTGGGAATTTTTCCACTGAAAACTTGAAAAATCGGGAAATCAAAAATCGAAAAGTCCAGATGTGGAGAAATGAAATGTTCCAAAAATGTGATATTTAAAAATTTGGAAAATCGAAACATCGAAACACTTAAAAACCAAAGAAAACGGAAAATCGACAAAAGAAAAAAATTGAAAAATCGAAACATCGAAAAATTGGAAAATCGAAGATAAAAAAAGCCTCAAATTCATAGATTCGAGATATCGAAAAACCAGGAAGCCGAAATATGAAAAAATTAACAAATCGAGACATCCAAAAAACAAAAGATCAAAAAATCGAAAAACCCGGAAGTCGAAAAATAGAAAAATTAAAAAAACTTTTTAAAATCTAACTAAAAAAATCTATAAATCATAAAATTTGAAATAAAAAAATTTGGGCAACCGAACAATTGAAAAATCGAAACATCGAAATCTCGATATACATATCGAGAAACCGAAATGTTGGAAAACTGGAAAATCCAAAATATAAAACTGAGGAATTGAAAAATCCGAAAATGCAGAATTTAGAATATCGAAAAACCGAAAAATCATAAAAAAGAGAAATCGAGAAAACGAAAAGCTAAAATTTCAAAAATCGAAAACTCCCAAAACTCAAATATCGAAAAATTGATAAAACGCTAAAACGCAGAAAAATTGAAGGATCGAGAATTCGAAAAGGCGAAAAATCGGAAAATCGAAAATTTAAAAAATCGAAAAATTGAAAAATCGCACAATGGTGAAATTGAAAAATGGTAGACATGAAAAATCGAAACATCGAGAAATCAAGAAGGCGAAATTCCGAAACATGGAAAAGTCGGTAAATCGAGAAATGGGAATATTAAAAAAAAAGAAATATCTATAAGTCAAAAGTTGAAAAATCCAAAAATGGGAAAATCGAAAGATCGAAATACCCAAAAATAGAAAAAGAAAAGCCAAAAATCCAAAAATTTAAACATCGAAAAATTAAAAAATCGTAAACCTGAAACAGAGTAATTGAAAAATTGAATAATCGAGAAATCGGAAGAGAGAAAAATTAAAAATCAAAAAACTGAAAAATTCCAAAACTGGAATATCAAAAAATTAAGATATCTAAACATGAAATACGAGAAATTTAGACATTAAAAAGCTGAAAAATCGAAATATCGAAAAGTCAAAACTTCGAAAAATTAAGAAAACGAAAAATTGTTTCATTGACAAAATTAATTATCGAAAATTGAAAAACACCAAAAATTGAAAATATGAAATATTGTAAAATCCCAAATTTAAAATACCGAAAAATTCAGCAATCGAAACTTGAAAAATCGTGAAATCAAAAAATTCGAAATTTCGCAAAACTGATTAATCGAGATCTCAAAATATCGAAACTTTAGAAACCACAAAAATTGAAAAATTATATAAAGAAAGAATGGAAAAATTGAAACATCGGAAAATTAAAAATAGAGAAACTGAAAAACTCCAGAATGGAGAAATTGAAAAATCGAAAAATTTAAAAATCAAAAAATCTCAAAACTGAAATATCGAAAAATTCAGAAATAGAAACTTGAAAACCCACCCATCCCCTCTTCGTTTAAGTGATAACTCTTAATACTGTTTTTTCAGCTATAATTTTTTCAATTTTACAAATTTTCAATGTTACACTTTTTCATTATTCGATTTTCAGTTTCCCAAATTTTAATTAATATAATAATTGAAAAATGAAAAAGTTCTAAATCCATAAAATTGAAAAAGTAAACAATTTTCTGAAAAACCTAAAAGAAAAAAAAACGAAAAAAAAAATCTAAAAAGTGGAAATTCACATTTTTCGGAGAAGTTTATCATTTATCCAGTAAACTTTTGTTAAAATTGTAACTGTTGTTAAACAGTGAACATATAAAATGAACACCCTGTATATCGATTAGTGGTTTTTGTGAAACAATTTCATAACACCGTGTTGCGCATCTCTCTCAAACATGACCTTTTAACATCACCTTTGATAAAATTATTTTGACTCTAACCCTTCACACTTGACAAAATTTCCAAAACTTTATTCGTATCTTACAATGCTACAACACAAGAAAAAAAATTATTCTCGAGGTCGCACCATCATTCGAACTTGTTTCAAACTGTAGAAGTACCCATGAAACGTATTCCACTGTATGTTGTGGTTATCCTCCGACAGAAGTCCCTCGTGGACGTACACACCGGTGAGATGGCTGAAGTAGCAATTGCTGTACCACCATGCCCCTTCTACACAACACAACAACTAAATAACCACCAAAAAACCCCTTGTTTCAAAAACTCACTATTATAGGCAGCGCAGTTATACTCCACCCTCGTGTCCTGATCCTTATCCGCCGTAGTAAATTTCATATTAACGTGTCCAGAGAACGAATCCCCAGCATCCCCATACGACTCCCCAAGACCCTTGACGGCATAACCTTCAGTTTCGTTCCCAATCACGAAATGATTATAATGTTGATACGCTTTCTTGATATCCCAGTCGACCAGCTCGAACAGCAACTCGCTGCTTTTGCTATCTAGTTATCAAACAGAAAAAAAATTGGTCTAAAGAGTTTAGACAGTACTTCCCTCGCTGTTGGAAACTTGACGACTGCATGCCTATTGTGTTTTTTTTCTCATTACATTTTTGTAGTGGGAATTTAAAAAAAAATTGCGATGACGTCATCAACATTTTTGCAAGGATACGTATATCAGTTGGGATAGATGTAGTGTAATACTAAGAATAAAATTATTATATTCTCAAATTTTCGGGAAAATGAATTGGGTCGTTTTGAATATTGATTTGTAATAATCAATAAAATAACGAAACAATTTACTAACGTATACGTATCAGAGGCAACTGAAAATCGTGTATGTATAAACATTCTTAATTTAAGATGACAGGCGTAACAGCATACGTGAGAGTCAAACAGAGAAACTGTAAACAAAACGACCATCGGTTTTATTGCTTCGACTTCCGCTTATTATATAAAACATTGGGTTTTATTTTAATTCTTGACGGTGAAATTCACAATTGGTTGATTATAAACATTTCACATTCGCGGAACCAAGTGAGCGCATAAAACAAATGCAGGTCTGTAATGTTAAAGTCGATGTAAATAAGCGTGCTACCCTTATATTTCAACCGAGTTTTTCCTTTAACAAATTTTGTGTCTACCAAATTGGGTTGGTTGGGGTGTAATACTAATAATAAGTGTTGCCTTTAATTTAATCAATAAAATAAATTGACTTCATTAATTTTTTTGAACCACCTCTTAAGAAAATCTAAAAAATATGAATGGAATGATAAATCACAAGTACAAACTCATCATATTTTTTGCATTTTAGATAGGATTTATTCAGCAAAATTTAAGGGTGACGTCATCAATTTTTTTAGGAGGGATGAACAAATACATTTTGAACAAAAGTTTACCATGCTTATAATAACTTTAAAATATTCCCAAGATTTCAAAGCATTCGGTTTTCTAATTCCTGATTAAATCGATAAAATAAATTCACGCCTTCATTAATTTTTTTGAGTCACCCTGCATATGCAAATCCAAAAATATGATTGGAATGATAAACCACAAGTACAGACTCATCATATTTTGTACATTTTAGATACGATTTATTCGGCAAACTTTTGAGCTGACGTCATCAGTTTTTTGTAGAAGATAACCAAATATATTTTGACTAAAAATTTATTATGCTCTTTATAACCTTAAAACATCTGCAAGATTTCAAAGCATTCGGTTTTGTAGTTTCTGATTAAATCAATAAAATAAATTTACGCATTCATTAATTTTTTTGAGTCACCCTGTATATGCAAATCGAAAAAATTTGAATGGAATGATAAATCACAAGAAGAGACTCACCATATTTTGTACATTTTAGATAGGATTTTTTCAGCAAAATTTTGTGGTGACGTCATAAATTTTTTAGGGGGGACGACCAAATACGTTTTGATCAAAAATTTACCATGCTTATGATAATTTTAAAATATCTTCAAGATTTCGAAGCATTCGGTTTTGTAGTTCCTGCGTAAATCAGTAAAATAAATTTACGCTTTCATTTATTTTCTTGAATCACCCTGTATATGCAAATCCAAAAAATATGAATGGAGTGATAGATCACAAGTACAGACTGATCATATTTTGTACATTTTAGATATGATTTATTCGGCAAATTTTCGAGCTGACGTCATCAAGTTTTTGGAGGGGATAAGCAAATATATTTTGACTAAACATTTATTATGCTCTTTATAACCTTAAAACATCTGCAAGATGTCAGAGCATTCCGTTTTGTAGTTCCTGATTAAATCAATAAAATATATTTACGCATTCATTAATTTTTTTGAGTCACCTGTATATGCAAATCCAAAAAATATGAATGGAGTGATAGATCACAAGTACAGACTCATCATATTTTGTACATTTTAGATATGATTTATTCCACAAACTTTTGAGCTGACGTCATCAAGTTTTTGGAGGGGATAAGCAAATATTTTTTGACTAAAAATTTATTATTCTCTTTATAGCCTTAAAACATCTGCAACATTTCAAAGCATTCTGGTTAGCAGATTAAAAATTAAATTTCAAAATGTTGTTTTATAATTTTGATTTTTTTTCCAAAAATCTGGACGTTTCGGGTGAAAAGTCGATTCAGAGTTGTAAACTACATGTGTAGGACTATGTTATTTTATACAATTGAAAACCCATTTACTATGTACAATTTTGAAGTGACCTCATCGCATTGGTGGTGGGGATGATTAGACAAATTTTGGTTAGCGTTTTACCATCTACATGATATTCTTAATATAAGTACAAAACTTCACAACAATCGGTCGAGTACTTTCGGAGATTATCTGTCTAATAAAAATCCGGGACAACAGACGGACAGACGGACAGACGGACAGACGGACGGAAATGGGAGACCTATTTCTTCGTCTTCTAGGGGTCATGAAAGATCGAGAAAACGTAAAAGTAGAGAGTCGGCCGACGGACTCGATTACAATACTTCCTTTGCTTACGCTCGGGAAGTAAAAATCACAAAAGGAATCATTTCCACTCACTTGTTAATTGATGCAGGTGATCCAGGCCCAACCAGAACTCTCCCGAAAGGTCGCCAAACCCTTCCTTGTAGTCGGTCCAGTTCCGGTAAAAATTTTCCGAGCCGTCGAACCGGTTGAGGACGTAGGTCCAGCCACCCCCTCGGGTCGTCAAGTCGCACCAGACCCAAAAGGGCTCGGGGGAGTACACCGGTTTGATCCGGTACAACCCGGAACCTTTGTACTCCCGTCGCAGGACTTCCTGACAGTCTTGGGGCAGTAGGATCTTGTAATCTTGGTAGTTTTGACTTTGTGGGTCGTTTTTGTCGGATTGGAGGAGTTTTTTAATTTCGCTAAGCTGTGTTTCGTAGTGGTGGAGCTTTTCTTCTACTTGGGTCTCCCAGGCACTCTTGCTGGTTGAAGTAGTGAAGAGTAAGCACACTAAGAGGAGTGGATTTAGATACATTTTGGTCAAGGTTGAATGTGATACTGGATAATTTTTAAATTATTTAAACTTTGTTATCAGTGTTATTATTATTTAATTCGTTTACTACGAACTAGTGCTTATCTTCACGACAGTCCACGAATCAATAAAATAAAAATATTGAACGTTTTTCATAATTTTTATTGGCGAAATTACAAAGTGATAAATTTTCAAAGATTTTTTTTTAATCCTTTGGTCTGACCATCATCCGCACTTGTTTCAAACTGTAGTCGTACCCATGAAACGTATTCCAGGTGATTTTATTGACATTTTTGCCTGTTGAAGGTTTTACGTGGACGTATTCACCAGTTAGATGACTGTAGTAACAACTGTTGTACCACCATGCCCCTTCTACAAACCACCACATTAAAAAAAATCACTGAAATTAGTCAAAAACTCACTATTGAAAACTGCACAGTTGTACTCCTTTCTGATATCCTGGTCCCTGTCTGCCGTAGTAAATTTCATTTTAAGGTGTCCTGTTAAAGAATCTCCTGCGGTTCCTTCAAAGGTTCCCAGCGATTTGAGAGCGTACCCCTCCTCTTCACTCCCAATTACGAAATTATTATACTTGGCGTACACCTTCTTCATATCCCAGTCCACAAGCTCGAAAAGCACCTCACAGTTTCGACTATCTGTTAACCCAAAATGTGTTGTACAAAAAATCGAAGCCGGATTTGAGTTCTAGAACTAGAAATCTACAAGAAAATATATTTAGTTGAGTTTCGAAAATGTCAAAATTTTTGCGAAATTATGTTCTTCGGTCGAGTGGGAGGGAAAACTAATAATAGAAGCCGAAAATGATTTCTGGATATGTCAAAAATGCCAAAAACAGTCTTATCTTATATAATTTTAAGCCCCGCCCACCCACCCTCTGTTTTCTTAGAGAGTATGTTATTGACCAAAGTCAATCTTATCTTAGCAAGTACTAGCCCCACCCACCCACCCATTTCTCATTCTAATGACAAATTTCATTTCTGGTCAGTTTAAGGTCATTCATTTCATTCAGATTGCAGAAAATCAATCTCTGAAAAGGAGATAGGGTGGGTGGGCGGGGCTAATTATATTCTTCGGTCGAGTGGGAGGGAAAACTAAAAATAGAAGCCGAAAATGATTTCTGGATATGTAAAAATGCCAAAAACAGTCTTATGTTATATAATTTTAAGCCCCGCCCACCCACCCTCTGTTTTCTTAGAGAGTATGTTATTGGCCAAAGTCAATCTTATCTTAGCAAGTACTAGCCCCACCCACCCACCCATTTCTCATTCTAATGACAAATTTCATTTCTGGTCAGTTTAAGGTCATTCATTTCATTCAAATTGCAGAAAATCAATCCCTGAAAAGGAGACAGGGTGGGTGGGCGGGGCTAATTATGTTCTTCGGCCGAGTGGGAGGGAAAACTAATAATAGAAGCCGAAAATGATTTCTGGATATGTCAAAAATGCCAAAAACAGTCTTATCTTATCCAATTTTAAGCTCCGCCCACCTACCATTAAAAAATTTTAATTTTAAAAAAGTTGTCTAAAAATTTTGAAAAAATTCAGGGACGTAGATCTCGATACGCTGATTCCAAAAATATAGCATGTTCATGGCCATAAAGCAACAATTTCGTAAAAATCGCTGCGAAATGCGGATTTTTGAAAATTTCAAAAATTTCGATTTTCCAACGGTCGATTCTGGAAAAACAGTTGCTGGTATCAAAAAATTAAAGCCGGATTTGAGTTCTAGAGCTAGAAATCTACAAGAAAATGTATTTAGTTGAGTTTCGCAAATGTCAAAATTTTAGCAAAATTTGAAAAATGGGGGACCATTAAAAATTTCAATTTTATAATTGAAACTTTCTTATGAAAGTTGTCTAAAAATTATGAAAAAATTCAGGGACTTATATCTCAACACGCTGATTCCAAAAATATAGCATATTGATGGACACGAAGCAACATTTTCGAAATAATTGCTGTGAATTGTGAATTTTTTAAAATTTCAAAAATTTCGATATTTCAACGGTCGATTCTGGAAAAACGATTGCAGCTATCAAAAAATCGAAGCCGGATTTGAGTTCCACAGCTAGAAATCTACAAGAAAATGTATTTAGTTTAGTTTCGAAAATGTCAAAATTTTTGCAAAATTTGAAGAATAGGGGACCATAAAAAATTTCAATTTTAAAAAAGTTGTCTAAAAATTATGAAACAATTCAGGGACGTCGATCTCGATACGCTGATTCTAAAAATATAGCATGTTGATGGTCACGAAGCAACATTTTCGAAAAACTCGCTACGAAATTCGAATTTTTAAAAATTTCAAAAATTTCGATATTTCAACGGTCGATTCTGGAAAAAGAGTTGCAGGTATCAAAAAATCGAAGCCGGATTTGAGTTCTAGAGTCAGAAATCTACAAGAACATGTATTTGGTTGAGTTTCGAAGATGTCAAAATTTTTGCGAAATGGGGGATCATTAAAAAATTTCGATTTTAAAGAAGGTGTCTAAAAATTATGAAAAAATTCTGGGACGTACATCTCGACACGCTGATTCCAAAAATACAGCATGTTGATGGTCACGAAGCAACATTTTCGAAAAAATCGCTGCGGAATGCGAATTTTTGAAAATTTAAAAAATTCCGATATTTCAACGGTCGATTCTGGAAAAACGGTTGCTGGTATCAAAAAATCGAAGCCTGATTTGAGTTCTAGAGCTAGAAATCTACAAGAAAATGTATTTAGTTGAGTTTCGAAAATGTCAAAATCGTTGCGAAATTTGAAGAATTGGGGAACATTAAAAAATTTCGATTTTAAAAAAGTTGTCTAAAAGTTATGAAAAAATTCAGGGACGTAGATCCCGGCAGGCTGATTCCAAAAATGCAGCATGTTGATGGTCATAAACCAATAATTTCGAAAAAATCGCTGCGAAATTCGATTTTTTGAAAGTTTTAGTAATTTCGATTTTTCAACGGTCGATTCTGGAAAAACGGTTGCAGGTATCAAAAAATCGAAGCCGGATTTGAATTCTAGAGCTAGAAATCTACAAGAAAATGTATTTAGTTGAGTTAGGAAAATGTCAAAATTTTTCCGAAATTTGAAGAATGGGGGACAACTAAAAAAATACAATTTTAAAGAAGTTGTCTAAAAATTATGAAAAAATTCAGGGACGTAGATCTCGACACGCTGATTCCAAAAATATAGCATGTTGATGGTCAAGAAGCAACATTTTCGAAAAAATCGCTGCGAAATGCAAATTTTTGAAAATTTCAAAAATTTCGATATTTCAACGGTCGATTCTGGAAAAACGGTTGCAGGTGTCAAAAAATTGAAGCCGGATTTGAGTTCTAGGGCTTGAAATCGACAAGAAAATATGTTTAGTTGAGTTTCGAAAATGTCAAAATTTTGCAAAACTTGAAGAATGGGGGACCATTAAAAAATTTCAATTTTAAAAAAGTTGTCTAAAAATTATTAAAAAATTCAGGGACGTAGATCTCGACACGCTGATTCCAAAAATATAGCATGTGATGGTCACGAAGCATCATTTTCGAAAAAATCGCTGAGAATTGCGAATTTTTGAAAATTTCAAAAAGTTCGATATTTCAACGGTCGATTCTGGAAAAACGGTTGCAGGTATCACAAAAATCGAAGCCGGATTTGAATTCTAGAGCTAGAAATCTACAAGAAAATATATTTAGTTGAGTTTCGAAAATGTCAAAATTTTTGCGAAATTTGAAGAAGCGGGGACCATTAAAAAATTTCAATTTTAAAAAAGTTATCTAAAAATTATGAAAAAATTCAGGGACGTAGATCTCAACACGCTGATACCAAAAATTTAGTTTGTTGATAGTCATGAAGCAACATTTTCGAAAAAATCGCTGCGAAATGCGAATTTTTGAAAATTTCAAAAATTTCGACAATTCAACGGTCGATTCTGGAAAAACGGTTGCAGGTATCAAAAATTCGAAACCGGATTTGAATTCAAGAGCTAGAAATCTACAAGAAAATGTATTTAGTTGAGTTTCGAAAATGTCAAAATTTTTGCGAAATTTGAAGAATGGGGGTCCATTAAAAAATTTCAATTTTAAAAAAGTTGTCTAAAAATTATGAAGAAATGCAGAGACTTAGATCTCGACACGCTGATTCCAAAAATATAGCATGTTGATGGTCACGAAGCAACATTTTCGAAAAAATCGCTGCGAAATGCGAATTTTTGAAAATTCAAAAATTCCGATAATTCAACGGTCGATTCTGGAAAAACGGTTGCAGGTATCAAAAAATCGAAGCCGGATTTGAGTTCTAGAGTTAGAAATCTACAAGAAAATATATTTAGTTGAGTTTCGAAAATGTCAAAATTTTTGCGAAATTTGAAGAATCCGGGACCATTAAAAAATTTCAGTTTTAAAAAAGTTGTATGAAAATAATGAAAAAATTCAGGGACGTAGATCTCGACACGCTGATTCCAGAAATATAGCATGTTGATTATCACGAGGCAACATTTTCGACAAAATCGCTGAGAAATGCGAATTTTTGAAAACTTAAAAAATTTTGATATTCAACGGTCGATTCTGGAAAAACGGTTGCAGTAAGTTATCAAAAAATCGAAGCCGGATTTGAGTTGCAGAGTTAGAGATCTATAAGAAAATGTATTTAGTTGAGTTTCGAAAATGTCAAAGTTTTTGCGAAATTTGAAGGATGGGGGACCACTAGAAAGTTTCAATTTTAAAAAAGTTGTCTAAAAATTATTAAAAAAATCAGGGACGTAGATCTCGATACGCTGATTCCAAAAATATAGCATGTTAATGGCCATAAAGCTACACTTTCGTAAAAATCGCTGCGAAATGCGGATTTTTGAAAATTTCAAAAATTTCGATTTTTCAACGGTCGATTCTGGAAAAACAGTTGCTGGTATCAAAAAATTAAAGCCGGATTTGAGTTCTAGAGCTAGAAATCTACAACAAAATGTATTTAGTTGAGTTTCGAAAATGTCAAAATTTTTGCGAAATTTGAAGAATGGGGGACCATTAAAAAATTTCAATTTTAAGAAAGTTGTCTAAAAATTATGAAAAAATTCAGGGACGTCGATCTCGACACGCTGATTCCAAAAATATAGCATGTTGATGGTCAGGAAGCAACATTTTTGAAAAAATCGCTGCGAAATTCGAATTTTTGAAAATTTCAAAAACTTCGATAGTTCAACGGTCGATTCTGGAAAAACGGTTGCAGGTATCAAAAAATCGAAGCCGAATTTGAGTTCATGAGTTAGAGATCTAAAAGAAAATGTATTAAGTTGAGTTTTGAAAATGTCAAAATTTTCTGTTTTAAAAAAGTTGTCTAAATATTATGAAAAAATTCAGGGACGTAGATCTCTACACGCTGATTCCAAAAATATAGCATGCTGATGATCACGAAGCAAGATTTTCGAAAAAATCGCTGCGAAATGCGAATTTTTGAAAATTTCAAAAATTTCGTTATTTCAACGGTCGATTCTGGAAAAACGGTTGCAGGTATCAAAAAATCGAAGCCGGATTTGAGTTCTAGAGCTAGAAACCTACAAGAAAATGTATTTAGGTGAGTTTCGAAAATGTCAAAATTTTTGCGAAATTTGAAGAATGGTGGACCATTAAAAAATTTCAATTTTAAAAAAAGTGTCTTAAAATAATGAAAAAATTCAGGGACGTAGATCTCGATGCGCTGATTCCAAAAATGTAGAATGTTGATGTTCACGAAGCAACATTTTCGAAAAAATCGCTGCGAAATGCGAATTTTTAAAAATTTCAAAAATTTCGATATTTCAACGTCGATTCTGGAAAAACGGTTGCAGGTATCAAAAAATCGAAACCGGATTTGAGTTCTAGAGTTAGAAATCTACAGGAAAATGTATTTAGTTGAGTTAGAAAATGTCAAAATTTTTGCGAAATTTGAAGAATGGGGGACCATTAAAAAATTTCGATTTTAAAGAAGTTGTCTTAAAATTATGAAAAAATTCAGGGACGTAGATCTCGACACGCTGATTCCAAAAATATAGCATGTTGATGGTCACGAAGCAAGCAACATTTTCAAAAAATCTCCGAGATTTACGAATTTTTGAAAATTTCAAAAATTTCGATATTTCAACGGTCGATTCTGGAAAAACGGTTGTAGGTAGCAAAAAATCGAAGCCGGATTTGAGTTCTAGATCTAGAAATCTACAAGAAAATGTATTTAGTTGAGTTTCGAAAATGTCAACATTTTTGCGAAATTTGAAGAATGGGGGACCATTAAAAAATTTCAATTTTAAAAAGTTGTCTAAAAATTATGAAAAAATTCAGAGACGTAGATCTCGACACGCTGTTTCCAAAAATATAGCATGTTGATGGTCACGAAGCAACATTTTCGAAAAAATCGCTTCGAAATGAGAATTTTTGAAAATTTCTAAAATTTCGACATTTCAACCGTCGATTCTGGAAAAACTTAGCAATTTTTCCATTTTTTTTCAGAAATCGGTAGGTTTTTTTTTATAAAATAGATTACCACCATAAACAACCCTAACTTACTCGTCAAGTGGTGCAAATGCTCAAGCCCTACCCAAAACTCCGTCGACAGATACCCGAATCCGTCCCTGTAGTCCGTCCAATTCCGGTAAAAACTCTCCGACCCATCGAATCGGTTGAAAATGTAGGTCCAGCCGCCCCCCTTCGTCGTCAAGTCGCACCAAACCCAGAACTCCTTCGGGGAGTACATGGGCTTAATTTTGTACATCCCGGAAGTCTTGTAGCCTCTCCCTAGAACGTCCTTGCAGTCCTCGGGGGTCAAAATGCTGTGCTCCACTTCTTTCTCCACCAACGAAAGCAACTCCTTCCGGGTGGCGTGGAGTTGGTTCTTCAGTTCGCTGATCTGGGCGTCGTAGAATTTTAGTTTTTCTTTGAGCCCTGATACGCACACGTTGTTGGAGTTTTGCTGGGTCGGGGGACGCTGGGTCGTGGAGACCACCCAGAACTGAAAGTTGGTGGGTTTAGGTTTTTGGGTGTGGCATTATGGAACTTACGTCGGAATTTTGCGCCATGGCGACGCTGATGAGAAGTGTCAAAAGCGGAATGAGTGTGTTGGAAGACATTGTTTGAGTGGTTTTAGTGTTTCGATGATTATGTTATATTGGTGTATAGTAAGTAAATATGGGTTATTATCTAGGGTCAACATTGGTGAGAGCGATGGGGCTCCAAATTTAGATGTTCACAAATATTTGTCGCTCTGATTTGGTGGCTTCCTCCAATCTTATTTTAAAATATGTAAATTCAAAAATTAATTTTCCCTTAATTAAAGCATTGTTAAACATCGTCTATAATAATAAATTTGTAATGTAAACTGTGGATGATATTTAATTATTAAAATTTGTAATGCCATTCATCATTATTCGTTCAGTGATTTTAAAAATCATCCATCAATTTTTCAATTAAAATATTATTTTAGAAAAAGTTACAACAATTGGATGGCATCATCTCCAATAATATTTAAATTTTATTAAATAAAACACACCTGTACTTGTGGTTTATGAATCCGCCTTGCGTTTTCAGCCAAAACTTCCAGATTTTTGGAAAAAAAATCAAAATAATATAACATTTGGTTTATTAATTTAATCCGGATTTATTTACCTTTGACCATTTTTTTCACCTATTTTATAATTTTTTGATCACAATTTTTCGTCTTTAAATTTTTTCATTTTTCAATATTAAAGTTTTCAATTTTTGATTTTTCGATTTTTTAATTTTTGATTCAGTTAATTTTGAAAAATGAAAAATGAAAAAATTGGAAAATCGAAAAAATTCGCTTTTTCATTCCCTCTACTGTTTCAATGTTTCTTTAGATTTTACAATTTTTCAAATTTTCGATCTTCACAAAAATCAAAAATCGAAAAATTGGAAACCCGAGAATTGAATAATGGAAAAATTCAATACTATGAAACTGAAAAAACAAAAATGTAAAAATAAAGAAAATAAAAACCCCAATAATTGAAAAATGGAAAAACTCTAAAATCGTAAAACTGAAAAAGTGAAAAATTTTTTAAATTATTATTGTGAATGAAAAATTGAAAAATGTAAAAATGAAAAAAAACACAAAAAATAAAATATCTAATAATTGAAAAGGCCAAAAATTGAAAATTTTCACATTGAAAAAAGAAAAATTATAAAATCAAAAAAATGAAAAACCGAAAAAACCTGAAATTGGAAAAACGGAAAACTAAAAAAATTTAAAATGAATACTCGAAAAGTTGCATGTCGTAAAAAACGAAACAAACGAAACAAAAAAAATAAAAAAATAAAAAATTTCAAATGAAAAAATTGATTAAACGAAAAATTGAATACATGGAAGTTTAGAAAAAAAAAAAACTGTAAAAAAAAAGAAAATAAAACCGAATCGAAAAATTGCATATCGAAAATTTAAAGAAATGAAAAACTGAAGAATCGGAAATCTAAAAAATAAAAAATCGAAAAATTGAAACTTCAAGTAAATGAAAAAGTTTTAAAGTCCAATAATAACTGAAACATCCAAAAACTCTAAAATGGTAAAATGGAAAAGCGAAAAATTTAAAAAATTATTGTCATTGTGATTACATATTTAAAAGGAAAACTAGAAGAATTGGAAATCAAAAATTGAAGAAATGAAAAATTGGAAAATTTAAAAATGAAAAAAACCAAAAATAAAAAATCTAAAAATTGAAAAACCAAAAATTTTAAATTTTCACATCGAAAAAAGAAAAATCATAAAATCAGAAAATTGAAAAACCGAAAAATTGATAAAATAAAGAACATCAGAAACAGAAACGAAAAGCCGCAAATCGAAAAACTGAAGAAATGAAAAAATGGAAAACTGAAAAATTGAAAACTCCTGAAATTGGAAAATAGGTAGAAATTTAAAAACAAAAACAAAAAAAAAGAAACAAAAATGAAAAATCCAAAATTTGAATAAACGAAAAATTCAATACTATGAAATTGAAAAAACAAAAATGTAAAAATAAAGAAAATAAAAACTCCAATAATTGAAAAATGGAAAAACTAAAATGCTAAAATTGAAAAACTGAAAAATTTTTGCAATTATTATTGTAAAGGAAAAATTGAAAAGTCTAAAAATAAAAAAAAAACAAAACATTAAAAATCTAATAATTGAAGAAACCAAAAATTGAAAATTTTTACATTAAAAAAAGTAAAATTATAAAATCAAAAAACTGAAAAACCGAACACTCCTGAAATTGGAAAAATGGAAAACTGAAAAATTATAATATAAAAACTAAACAAAACTGTAAAAAGAAAGAAAATAAAAATTTCCCAAATTTTTTTCTAGTTTTCAGATTTTTCAAAGTTTGCATTTTGTTCTTTTTCGTTTTATCATTTCTGATTGTTCAGATTTACAATTTTGCATTTTCCATTTTTTTATTTCGAAAGTTGAAAAATCGTAATATTGAAATATCGAAAAATTGTAAACCGAAAGACCAAAAAGTCAGAAATATTTGAAAAATCTAAGAACTGAAGAAACGGAAAATTGAAACACTGAAAAACCATAAATTGTGAAACTTAAAAATCGAAGTGAAAAATTTTAAAAATTATAATTATTACATATTCAAAATAAAAAACAGAAAAAACAAAAATCAAAAATTCAAGAAACAAAAATTGAAAAATCTAAAAATGGAAAAGACGAAATATAAAAAATCCAGAAATTGAAAAACCGAAAAATTGAAAAAAAAAAATAAAAACCGAATCAAAAAACTGCAAATCGAAAAACTGACGAAATGGAAAATTGAAAACTCCTGAAACTGGGAAATCGGAAAAATGAAAAATTTAAAAATGGAAACTCGAAAAAAAAAACAAAAATAAAAAACTGAAAAATTGGAAATCAAGAAATTGATTAAACAAAAAATTCCAAAGTAAAAAATAAAAAATCGAAAAATTGAAAAATTTTAAAATGAAAAAATCCAAAAATAAAAATCCTAAGAATTGTAAAACAAAAAATTGGAAATTTTCACATTGAAAAGAGAAAAATCAAAATCAAATAATTGAAAAACTGAAAAATTGATAAAATAAAGAAAATAAAAACACCAAAAAAAGGAACAAAAATGAAAAATCGAAAAATTGGAAATTCAAAAATTGAATAAACGAAAAATTCAATAGTATGAAATTGAAAAAACAAAAATGTAAAAATAAAGAAAATAAAAACTCCAATAATTGAAAAATGGATAAACTCTAAAATGATAAAATCGAAAAAGTGGAAAATTTTTAAAATTATTATTGTGAATGAATAATTGAAAAAGCTAAAAATGAAAAAAAAACAAAAAATAAAAAATGTAATATTTGAAAAAACCATAAATTGAAAATTTTCACATCGAAGGAAGAAAAATTATAAAATCAGAAAAATGAAAAACCGAAAACTCTTGAAATTGGAAAAACGGAAAACTGAAAAATTTAAAAATAAAAACACGAAAAATTCAATACTATGACTCTGAAAAAACAAAAATGTGAAATACAGAAAATAAAAACTCCAATAATTGAAAAATGGAAAAACTCGAAAGTGGTAAAATTGAAAAAGTGAAAAACTTTTTAACTATTATTGTGAACGAAAAATTGAAAAATGTAAAAATGAAAAAAAACAAAAAATAAAAAATTTGATAATTGAAAAAATCAAAAATTGAAAATGTTCACATTGAAAAGAGAAAAATTATAAAATCAAAAAATTGAAAAACCAAAAATTTCTGAAATTGATAAAACGGAAAACTGAAAAATTTAACAATAATGACAAGAAAGAAAAGAAACACAAAAATGAAAAATTGAAAAATTGGAAACTCAGAAATTGAATAAACGAAAACCTCAATACTATGAAAATGAAAAAACAAAAATGTAAAAATAAAGACAATAAAAACTCCAATAATTGAAAAATGGATAAACTCTAAAATGATAAAATCGAAAAAGTGGAAAATTTTTAAAATTATTATTGTGAATGAATAATTGAAAAAGATAAAAATGAAAAAAAAAAACAAAAAATAAATTAAAAAGCCAAAAATTGAAAATTTTCACATTGAAAAAAGAAAAATTATAAAATCAGAAAATTGGAATACCGAAAACTCCTGAAATTGGAAAAACAGAAAACTGAAAAATTTTGAAATAAAAACTCGAAAAGATAAAAACAAAATATAAAAAAATTTCAAATCAAAAAATCGTTTAAACGAGAATTGAGAAATAAACTGAAAAATAATTCCAAATTTGGAAAATTAAAAAACTGAAAAATTTAAACTTGAAAATCGAAAAATTGAAAACTCCAAAATTGAAAATTTCACATCGAAAAAAAGAAAAATTATAAAATCACATTTTTGAAAAACCGAAAAATTGAAAAATAAAGAAAGTGTAAAACCGAAAGGAAAAACTGCAAGTCGAAAAATGGAACACACGAAAAACTGAAAATTTCAAAAATAAACGCTAGAATGCAACTCATACTGTAAAATTGGAGAAACAAAAAATGAAACATACAAAAATCGAAAAATTTAAGAAACGAAAAATTCAAAAATCTGAGAATGAAAAAAAAATTAAAAATATACTAATTACTGAAAAAAAACAAGAATTGAAAATTTTTATATTGAGAAAAGAAAAATTATAAAATCAGGAAATTGAAAACCCGAAAAATTGACAAAATAAAGAAAATAAATAAACAGAAACGAAAAATTGCAAACCAAAAACTGAAGAAATGAAAAATCAAAAAATCTAAAAAATCTAAAACCCCTGAAATTGGAAAAACGGAAAACTGACAAATTTAAAAAGGAGAAACTCGAAAAGATTTCGTAGAATAGGAAAGAAAAAAATTAAAAATTAGAAAATTTCAAATCCAATAATAATTGATTAAACGAAAAATTGAATACACTGAAATTGAGAAAACAAAACTATAAACAGAAATAATATAAAAAGCAATAAAAAACTTGAAACTTCGAGCAAAGAAAGAGTTTTAAAATCCAATAATTGAAAAATGGAAAAATTCTAAAATTGTAAAATTAACTGAAAAATTTAAACTTGAAAACCGAAAAATTGAAAATTTTAAATTTGAAAATTCGTGAAACTGCAAATCGAAAAATGACAAAATCATCAAAAGTTGGAAAACCGGAAAACTGAAAATTTTGAAAATAACCACTAGAAGAACCGAAAAATTGAAAAAATTATAAAATCCAAACTTTGCAAAATCGAATATTTGAAAAAATAACGAAAATAAAAGAGAACGAAAAATGACACAGCAAGAATTTGAATACGTAATAAAAAATTGTAAACCCCAGAAATTCAAGCCGTAAAATTGCAAAATTTAAAACCTGAAATATCAAAAATTTGGAAAATTGAAAAATTCATTGAGGTATCCCAAAATAAAAATGACAACAAAAACATTGAGAAAAACGAAACTTTGCCCAAAACCGCCTGAAAAATGAGACCTTATCTAACTGAGCAGTTACATAATCCAGCGTTGACTCGCGTCGCGGCACATTACTCCACGACAATGGCGTGTTTCGTAGAAAAAAAAAATCCCAAATGAATAAAATTCAGGTGTGTCCAGAACATGCAAATCCATAAAAGTATGTAAATGAGAATTTTCCGCAAGCTATTCCTCGGTGATTAAAATAATAATCCGCTCGCACTGATAAACATTATCACTCTGCTTACAATCAAGTGCCATCCCACAGCTCCAAAAAAGAGAAAAAAATTAATTTTGTTTAAAGACGCAGTAATTTTCATTTAATCACAACCGAATTTCAAAAACGTCGTAAAAACCACTCATGCAAAATGTAGAAAACCATTCTTCCAACACGGAGTATAAATACTGGAAACTGACAACGAGACGAACCAGCAGTTAATTCGCGTTCTGATTTACCGCGACGATGTATTTGAGGTTAAGTTTGTTTTTGATTTTGTTTGTTCTTGGGGCGGAGGTTTCGGCCAGACACTCGAGAGTAAGTTAAGCTCGTCGGATTTGTGGTTTTTGTGTTTCGGTTAACTGATGTTGAAATTTTAGCATGTCACTAGGAGTCGATATCGAACGAGTTGGCGTGGAGTGAAGACAAGAACCACCACCCCCCCGCCGCCGCCTTTATTATTGCGAAGTTTTTTCGGTAACAGAACCCTAGCGGATTACCACCCTATCAAAAAAATCAAAGAAATTATCACCACTGTGGGTAATATGCTTCCACGATATACCCAAAACCCTACAAATCTGTCGTCGAGAATGTTCGACGAACATGACTTTCAGGCAGGTACTCCGAAGATGGAAGTACTTTCTCGAAAAAGGGTAGACGGTTCGAACGATTTGTCCAAGGCGCTACACTACGACGTTAAATTCCTTTCTGATGCACCTCCAGGCTCTGAAAAAAAAAATTCTCAAATGTTTCGTATGGCAGATAGTTTTTTGGACTATGACCCGAACGACCTTCTTAAAAGTCTTACACGATCACTAGGCAGGAAAAACGGTCGCAACGACAGAAACAACGGTAAGTCCGATAAAGACAAAAAAAGCAAAAAGCCAGATCGTCTTGGTCAAGGAAAATCGACTAAATCTCAAGACTTCGGTCGGAATCGACGTGTTGGTAACAAAAACGCTTTTTCTGCAGACAGTGCATTCAAGAGGTCTTTGCGTAACCGAAAAAGAAACAAAAAGACTTCTCCTGAAGAATCAGAAGAATCGTCTGAAGAAGTCGGAAAGAGCAAAAGAAGACACTATGACTCTGAAGAAAACGAAGACGAATCTGAAAACTTTGAAGAAGACGACGAAGACGATTGGACTTCTCGTGAAGACACGAAAAAATTTGCCAATTTGTATGCGAAAGACCCCAACATGGCGCCTTCTAAGCAATGCAACTCAAGCGACAGTGGTTCGGTTCAAGAGTACCCCAAGAATTGCCAAGAAGTCCTGAAATTAGGGCACAAGAAGTCCGGAATTTACATGATCCATCCAATTCTTTCGTATAAACCGTTTTTCGTTAAATGCAACCAGAAAAACATGAAAGGTGGTTGGACTTACGTGCTTAATCGGCAAGACGGCAGCCAGGACTTCAACTTGCTCTGGACGGACTACGAGACGGGATTTGGTAATCTGGCTGGGGAGTTCTGGCTGGGACTGAAAAACCTCTACTACCTTACAGGTCCACGAGACTTACAAGCAACCACCCCCAAATCACGTTTACTTGTTCACAGGGCACCAAATCAACGAAATGTTGATGATCTTCACCGACTTTGAGGACCGCACTAGGTACTCGATCTTCAAGCTTTTCAGCATCGGGGACGTGGACGAAGGGTACGCGGTCAGACTTCTGGGAAAGTACGAAGGTACTGCCACTGATGGGTTCCTGTGCAGTGGCGGTGCCAAGTTCAGTACCCTGGACGTGGACCAAGACAACAGCGGGGACCATTGTGCCCTACAGCACTGTTAGTACTCGATCTCGAAATGTTGAAATTTGAACCTATTTTTCAGCTGCTGGATGGTGGTTCAATGACTGCTGCAACGTCATACTCACCGGAATTTACAACAATTACACAGAAGACCAGATTTCGACCTGGCTGCAGCAGTACGGATCGCCCAATAACCTAATGAGGGTCAAAATGTTGGTCAGACCAGCCGCCTGAATTATTTTGTTAGTAAAGCGTTTTTGACAAACATGAATAAAGTGTTTCATCAAGTCTGTGTTGATCGACATTTTTTTACATTTCGGATTTGATTTAACTGCGTCAATCAATAAGGTGACAATATTCCAATCAAAATCAAATAATAAACAAATAAAAACACAATAACAATTTCGTTTCATTGCAACAATCGTTTTATCGTTCGTACAGAAAGTATCTAAATGGGCTGCAAATAATTGTACAATAAGATACAAATTGATAGAAACTACGACCATAAACTCGGTTTTAATGTAATTTTTGATTGTTCTTTACGAAAAGGTCCAATCTTTTATGTTACAAGACAAACATGATTTAATATAAATAATAAGATTGTAAACTCAGCCGATGAGTTTTTATTGCTAATAATGTTGTAATTACTTGCGTGGGTGCGGTAAATGCGACATTATAAAATAAAACGCTTCTTCATCAAAAAATTGCAACGATTGGCCACGGTAACAATTTTATATCAAAAAAAGACGTTTCAGTTTTTTGGAGAAGTGATATTACGTTATTTGTAATTATTGTAATAATGGTGGGATTGTGGAATTTAAAAATAATTTCCTTGGGGACTTGACGTTGATTGTTAGTAGGTATATAAAGAATAAATAATTGTTGTGCGAAAATGGTCATAAAAAATTATGAAAAAACATCACTTTTGCCATAAATTGTCCCAATGATAACGCCAAAGTCATAAGTCCTGTGTTCAGCGCACCTTAGTACTTAACTTGCGCACTGAATCTTCAAAACCATACCACACCAAGTCTCTATTAAAAAATACAAAAAAGCAAAATTGCAACTTTTGACGTTAATTTTGTTGCTAACAATCGCAAAATAAACACCCATTGTGATTACTACGACCAATCTAGCTCTCTTTATGGCCCATTTAGCGTATAATTGTCTTAAATTTTAACAATCTTCGATGATGGTGCCTGTAAAAAGCACAGATTGTTATATTTCTTATTTCACGATGAATCAATTCAGAATTGTCGTAAAACTCATTCATCCATGCCGCTCAAGGCTATAAATACTGCACACGCTCCGGACGTCGCTATTTTGTGTCTGAAAATCGAAATGCGTTGGAAAGTGCTGTCAGATTGTCTGCTTATTCTCGTAGTCTGCGTAAGTAGGACCAGTATTTTGCTCTATGAAAAACTGTGGTTGTATTTTTAGCTTTGTGTGGACTGCAAACGCCGTAAGGTAGCTGGTCGGATGTGGAGTCCCATTGTGGAAAAAAACGAAGAGATTCTAAAACCGATTAAGAGTTTTTATGGAGATTCGCACCTTTTTAACCTCCCTACGGTTCAATATTCACACAGTTTTGAATTTCCTAGTGCCAAAGTGACGCAGAAGAGACAACAGACTTTTTCTTTTGACAAGTCCAGTATAGGGAGTATTGGTAAAGTATTTGGGCTGCCTAAAGGTAAAAGTACCACGCACCACCGGACTTTCACTTACACGCAACCTAGTTTCGGGAGTAGTGGAAGTTTATTTGATGGTAAACTATTTCCTAATGGTGCAAGTACCAAAAACACACATCGAACTTCCTACTATTCCGACTTAAGTTTAGGTAATCATAAAGTATATGACTATCAGAATGGTGCAAGTACCATGAACACAAAATACGAAGCTCCCTCTTATTCCACATCTAGTACTATTCCAGGTTCAGTTGGTGGTACAGGATATCAGTCTCCTAATAGTCAAAGTACCAGTACCATACAACTTCAAACTCCCTCTCATTCCAAATCAGACAATAGTGCACAAGGTGACTTTGGTATTAAGATAAACCTGAGCGGTCCATACAGACCAAAAAAACGTGCCACACAATATGGCAAACCCTTAAGCTATAAACGAGGATTTACCAATGGAGGTTCGAGCAAAAGACATTCACATAAGACAATAAAGAAAGCTGGAGCAGGATCCGAAAATACCAAGATATTTGGTAAATCTAAACCACCATCGAGTCGAAAAACTAGGACGAGTTGGAAGTTTATAAGAACACAAGTTTTACCGTCTAAGAGATCTATGACTACCACTAGAACCAGTACAATAGGGCTTAAAAGGTCAATGAGCGGAAAACCCGCAAAAGGTGACGATAACTCAAAGAACAATAAAGCCGAATCAGAATCAGAACTAGCCAAAAAAGAAGATGATGAAAGTTCAAAGAGTTTATCCGATGAGATGGATGGCGAAGATGACGGAAACGAAGACAATTCTGAATCAGAATCAACGAAAAAAGATCATGATGATGACAAGTCAAAGAGTGGATCCGATGAGGCGAGCGGTGAAGTTAACGAAAACGAAGACAACTCTGAATCAGAATCAACGAAAGAAGATGATGGTGGTGAAAAGTCAAAGAGTGGATCCGATAAGGTGAACGGTGAAGATGACGGAAACGAAAAGAATTCTGAATCAGAATCGACGAAAGAAGATGATGATGATGATGAAAAGTCAAAGAGTGGCTCTGATGCGGTGAAAGGTGAAGATAGCGAAAACGAAGATTCTAAATCAGAATCAACCAAAAATGATGATGAAGAATCGAAGAGTGGATCTGACGAAGGGAACAGTGAAGGCGACGAAAACGAAGATTCTAAATCTGAATCAACCAAAAATGATGATGAAGAATCGAAGAGTGGATCTGACGAAGGGAACAGTGAAGGCGACGAAAACGAAGATTCTAAATCTGAATCAACCAAAAATGATGATGAAGAATCGAAGAGTGGATCTGACGAAGGGAACAGTGAAGGCAACGAAAACGAAGATTCTAAATCTGAATCAACCGAAGATGATGAAAAGTCAAAGAGTGGATCCGATGTGGTGAACGGTGAAGAGGACGAAAACGAAGATTCTAAATCAGAATCAACCGAAGATGATGATGAAAAGTCAAAGAGTGGATCCGATGAGGCGAAAGGTGAAGACGACGAAAACGACGATTCTAAATCAGAATCAACCGAAGATGACGATGAAAAGTCAAAGAGTGGATCCGATGAGGCGAAAGGTGAAGACGACGAAAACGAAGATTCTAAATCAGAATCAACCGAAGATGACGATGAAGAATCGAAGAGTGGATCTGACGCAGTGAACAGTGAAAGCGACGAAAACGAAGACAAAAATTCTGAGTCAGATTCAACGAAAGAAGACGAAGAATCGAAGAGTGGATCCGACCAAGTGAACAATGAAGACGAAAACGAAGATTCTAAATCAGAATCAACCGAAGATGACGATGAAGAATCGAAGGGTGGATCCGACGAAATGAACAATGAAGACGAAAACGAAGATTCTAAATCAGAATCAACTGAAGATGACGATGAAGAATCGAAGGGTGGACCTGACGAAGTGAACAGTAAAGACGACGAAAACGAAGATTCTAAATCAGAATCAACCAATGAAGATGATGATGAAGAGTCAAAGAGTGGCTCCGATGACGTAAAAGGTGAAGATGACGAAAACGAAGACAATTCTGAGTCAGAATCAACCAAAGAAGAAAGTTCGATGAATGAATCCGGTCAAGCGGATGACACTTCTGACTCAGAATCAGAACAGGGTGATGAAAATTCGGAGAGTGAATTTGAAGACGGCGAAAACGAAGGTGAAGACAATAGTTCTGAGTCAAAGTCAGACGAAAAAGAAGATGAAGTTTCAGAGAGTGGATCTGAATCTGGCGAAGAAGCAGATGGTAAGCAAAATTCGAAGAATGGGAAGAACAAGGGTTCGTCTGGAACTAGTAGCCAGCGCAACACCTACTACAGTGACTGCGAGGCGGCGCAGAAGGCTGGAAACTCCAAGTCAGGAATTTTCTTCATTTCGCCACAGCACTCACAGAAACCGTTTTTGGTTAAATGCGACATGGAAACTGCCGGGGGTGGCTGGACTTACATTATAAACAGAGGTAACGCCACTCAGCCTTTTAACCTCTCATGGAAGGACTACAAGTTAGGGTTTGGGAACGTCGCAGACGAATTCTGGTTAGGTTTGGACAAAATTCACTCGTTGACAGGTACGTGTTGACGTTGACAACAACTGAGTTATTTTCGTCGATTTGTAGGTTACAAGGTCCACCAGTTGTTGGTACAACTTATCAACTGGAACAATCGACCCAGTTACGCGTTTTACAAAAAATTTAGCCTCGGAGGCCCCGATGAGGGTTACCCTATAAAAATTTTAGCCGGATATAGTGGTACCGCTGGAGACTCTTTGCACCGCAACACTGGCGTCAAATTCAGTACGACCGACCAAGATCACAGTTTGTCAAACTGCGCTAGCCAATTCGGTACTATTTTTGGTAAATTTAGACGATAAATTTAACTGGAATTTCAGGTGGAGGATGGTGGTACAAGCATTGTATAGACAATTCGCTTACTGGAGAGCTACCGAATAGGGTATTTTGGGGCGACCCCGGAAACACTTTCAAAGAGATTCAAATGTTGATCAAGCCACTACCGTTTGAATATGGAAATGAAAAATGTGTGATTTAAATGTCAATAATTGTAAGGGTGTATATTTTGAAAAAATAAAATTTGTTTAAACCCGTATCGAGTTTTATTTCTTTGACCTTTGCACAGTTGATCTTCATGTTATCGTATCACCAACATTTATAGTAGATACCATAAGGTACAATAATTGTAAACCCCGCCCCTCTGCCCCGAGTCAATGAAATGATTTCCTAAGGCGGAGCTTGTACCATAGGGAGGAGCATCGGTAATATTGCTTTTTGAATATGATTCTTACGTCTAGTATATTTAATTAACAATAGTCTAATACTATTTAGATATCCTGTTGAACAATCTTTCCAATTCTCACCAGCGATTAACCGATTTTTCTAACATTGTAATAAGATAATGACGTTGTCCTTAAGTAACAATATTAAGCGTAGTCATTAGAATAAAGTGGGGGTGGGTGGGCGGGGCTACTGTTTGCTTATAAGACTGAAGAAAAATGCAAAACTTAGCCCCGCCCAAATAATAGAATCTATGATTTTTTTTGATAAAATTTTGTTTTCATTAAATTTGAAATTTTTCGAAAAACAACTGCCGCTAGCGTTTACATTTACATAATACAAAAAATATATAAAAGTAGGCATGATAAGGTACAATTGTAAGCACCATCCTTTCTGTCCTTTTTCGTCCCTTTCGTCCTTTTTCGTCTTTTTTCGTCCTCTTTGCCCGAAAAAGGACGAAAAAAGATAATAACGACGAAAAATAACGAAAAGGACGAAAAAGACGAAAAAGGACGAAGATGACTAAAAAGACGAAAAAGGACGAAAATGACTAAAAATGACCAACAAGGACGAAAAAGACGACAAAGGACGAAAAGGACTAAACAGAACGAAATAGGACGAAAAGGACGAAAAAAGATGAAAAAGAATAATAAGGACGAGAAAGACGAAAAAGGACGAAATTTTTTAAATTTATAATCCTTTTTTAGAATTTGTGTGATGAGTTGACTTCTTTTACACCGAGAATCTACTATATCCGGAAGTATGGCATATAAATAAAATTTTTCTAGGGGTTCTATCGTATTATATGCCCAAAATTTATCGCCTCGATGAATTATTTTTATTATTACTTTTAGTAATAATGAATAATCCAAACATGAAAAAATCAAAAAAATTAAAATTGGAAAACCTAAAATTTAAAAATCGAGAAATTGAAAAATCGGATCATTGAAAAATCGAGACATCGAAAAATTGGAAAATAGAAAAGTTAAAAAAAAGATGGAAAATCGAAAACTTTAAAAATCCCGAGAAATTGAAAAATTAAAACATCAAAAACCTGAAATATCGAAAAAGTGAAGAATTGAAGAAGTGAAAAATCGAAACTTTGCGAAGAAATGGGAAAATAAAAAGAAATTACTTTAGAAATCGTAAAACTGAAAATTTAGAAACGTCAAAATTTGAAAAATTCATAAATTGAAAAATCGAAATATTTAGAAATCCTAACATTGAAGAGACTAAAAGTTGAGAAATTGTATCATTGAAACATCGGTGAAAAATTGCCAATTGGATTTTTTCATTTTAAATTTTTTTTATTTTTCAGTTTTTCGATTTTGATTTTTCAGAATTTTAGTTTGAATAAATTTGTTCATTTCATTGATAAACTGAACAACGTAAAAAAGAAAAAGCACTGAAAGATTGAAAAATTAAAAATAAAAAATCGAAAACTTAGAAAACGGTAAAACTGAAAAAAGTGGGAAATAAACAAATCGAAAAATAAAAAAAAATTGAGAAAATGAAAAAATTGCAAAACTGAAAAATTGAAAAACTGAGAAATCCAAAAGTCATAAATTGAAAAATCGGAAAATTAAATAATCGGCTAATAGATAACTGAATAATTTAAAAATTTAAAAGTGGAATAATTAAAAAATCGGAAAAGTTGAAATATAGAATACATGAAAAAGGGAAAAATTGCAATGGAAATTGTATTAAAAATTCGGAAAATTGCAAAGTTGCAACACGAACAAAAAAAAATCTAAAATTGTAAAACTGAAAAATCGTTAAAATTGAACGTTTAAACATTTGAAGGAGCGGAAAACTGAACAACTGGAAAATTGAAAGAACAATGGAAAAAATGCAAAATTATAAACAGAAACCGAAAAACGGAAAATATCGCAAAATAAAAAACGGAAATATGGCAAATTTGAGAAATTGGAAAAAAGAAAACTGACAAATTGATAAATCTAAAAATTCAAAAATCAAAAAATTATAAAACAGAAACGGAATAAATGGGAAAATTGAAAAATTAGACAACTGAAAAAATGAAAACCTGAAAAAGCTAAAAACTACAAAATTCTAAAATTGAAAAATCGACAATTGCATAATCTAAAATTGAAAAATCGACAATTGCATAATCTAAAATTGAGTAATTAATAAATCCAGATATTGAAAAATTGAAAAAGTGCGAAACAAATATTAAAAAAAAGTCGAATAATTGAAAAATGGAAAAATTCCACGATAGTAAAACCGAAAATTTGAAAATCGAGGAGAAACTAGAAATAAAAAAATCGTTAAATTCAAAAATCAAAAATTAGAAAATTGAAAAACTGGAAAATTGTAAAACAGAAACTGAAACAAATGAAAATTGGAAAAATCAAACAAGTTGAAAAATCGAACACCGAAGAATCGAAAAAATGCAAATTTATTAAAACAGAAACTGAAAATATCTGAAAATTGAGAAAACTGAAAACACAAAAATTGTAAAGTTAAAAATCGAAAAATGAAAAGTCTAAAATTGCTAAATCACAAAATTGAAAAATTAAAATCGGAACAATATCAATAAATCTGAACATTGAAAAATTGACAAATCGAAGGAATGTAAAATAGAAATAAAAAAAAAATCGAAGAATTCCCCAACTCTAAAATTGAAAAATTAAAAAATTGAGGAGAAGAAATTAGGAATTAAAAATTCGACAAGTCGAAAATCAAAAACTTAAAAATAGAAAAAGTGCAGAATTATAAAACAGAAACTGTAACAACTCAAAATTGAAAAATTGGATCATTAGAAAATCGAAACATGGAAATATTGAAAAATCGTAAAGTTAAAAAAAAACATGGAAATCGAAAATTTTTAAAATCCCGAAAATTGAAAAATTGAAATATAGAAGAACCGAAACTTGAGAAATCAAAAATCTAGAATTTTAGAAATCGAAAAACTGAAATATCGAAAAGTTGAAAAATTGAGAAATCGAAACATAAAACAGCCGAAAATTGAAAATTCTAAAATTTAAGAAACGAGAAAAACTGAAAATCGGGAAATCCAGAAGTCGAAAAATCGTAAGCTTATAAAATCGAAAAATTGAAAAATCAAAATCCTAAGAAATTGGAAAATTGAAACATCAAAAACCTGAAAAATCGAAAAATTGAAGAATTGAAAAAAACGAAACTTTGGGAAGAAATGGAAAAATAAAAAAAATATTACTTCAGAAATCGTAAAACTGAAATTAAAAACGTCAAAATTTGAAAAATTCATAAATTGAAAAATCGAAATATTTAGAAATCGTAACATTGAAGAGACTAAAAGTTGAGAAATTGTATCATTGAAACATCGGTGAAAAATTGCCAATTGGATTTTTTAATTTTTAAATTTTTCTATTTTTCAGTTGTTCGATTTTGATTTTTCAGAATTTCAGTTTGAAAAAATTTGTTCATTTCATTGATAAACTGAACAACGTAAAAAAAGAAAAAGCTCTGAAAGCTTGAAAAATTAAAAAAAAAATCGAAAACTTAGGAAACGGTAAAATTGAAAAAAGTGGGAAATTACCAAATCGAAAAATAAAAAAAATCGAGAAACTGAAAAAATTGCAAAACTGAAAAATTGAGAAATCCAGAAGTCATAAATTGAAAAATCGGAAAATTAAATAATCGGTTAATAGAAAACTGTGTAAATTAAAAATTTAAAGGTGGAATAATTAAAAAATCGGAAAAGTTGAAATATAGAATACTTGAAAAATGGAAAAATTGCAAAGTTGCAACACGAACAAAAAAAAATCTAAAACTGTAAAACTGAAAAATCGATAAAATTGAACGTTTAAACATTTGAAGGAGCGAAAAACTGAACAACTGGGAAATTGAAAGAACAATTGAAAAAATGCAATTGAGAAATTGGAAAAAAGAAAACTGACAAATCGATAAATCTAAAAATTCAAAAATCAAAAAATTATAAAACAGAAACGGAAAAAATGGGGAAATTGAAAAATTAGACAACTGAAAAAATGAAAACCTGAAAAAGCTAAAAACTACAAAATTCTAAAATTAAAAAATCGACAATCGCATAATCAAAAATTGAGTAATTAATAAATCCAGACATTGAAAAATTGAAAAAGTGCAAAACAAATACTAAAAAAAGTCGAATAATTGAAAAATCGAAAAATTCCACAATTGTAAAACCGAAAAATTGAAAATCGAGGAGAAATTAAAAATAAAAAAATCGAGAAATCCAAAAATCAATAATTAAAAAATCGAAAAAGTGGAAAATTGTAAAACAGAAACTGAAACAAATGAATATTGGAAAAATCGAACAAGTTGAAAAATAGAATACCAAAGAATCGAAAAAATGCAAATTTATTAAAACAGAAACTGAAAATATCGGGAAATTGAGAAAACTAAAAACAAAAAAATTGTAAAATTAAAATCGAAAAATGAAAAATCTAAAATTGCTAAAGCACAAAATTGAAAAATTAAAATCGGAACAATATCAATAAATCTGAACATTGAAAAATCAAAGAAATGTAAAATTGAAATTAAAAAAAAATCGAAAAATTCCCCAACTCTAAAATTGAAAAATTGGATCATTGAAAAATCGAAACATCGAAAAATTGAAAAATATGGAAATGAAAAATGTGTGATTTAAATGTCAATAATTGCAAGGGTGTATATTTTGAAAAAATAAAATTTGTTCAAACCCATATCGATCGAGTTTTATTTCTTTGACCTTTGCACAGTTGACCTTTATGTTATCGTATCACCAACTCACTCTTCTACACAGTCAAGTATGTGTGGTCAACCAGAATTCGCCTTCGTTCTGACTTTAGTCTTCCTCCTAAGTACGCCTGGAAAATGTATTGAGGTACTAAACCCATCAAAATAAACCTTCAGCCACAATTTCACTATTTTCAGTTCACGAGTGTCTCAACTACCCAGCCTCCGGGTACCGAAAGTGAAAAAATAGCAGAGCTCAATTCCCGTTTGAGCACCTTGGAAACTCAAATTCAGAAACTTCTCAACAACCTCAACCCATCGTTGCCGAAAAACTGCATCGACGTAAAAGAAAACGGAAACCATGTGACTGGAACTTATGTTATTAGCCCGAAATCCACCCCCTTTACGGTCCTCTGCGACATGAACACGCGAAATGGTGGATGGGTGGTTTTCCTGAACAGGTTCGACGGTTCTCAAGACTTTTACCTGTACTGGGACAACTACAAAAATGGGTTCGGGGACTTTGGCGGGGAGTTTTGGTTAGGGCTGGACCATCTACATGAAGTTACAGGTAAAAAAAAAATCGGATGTTCTAATCCAACTAGTTACTACCTAGGTTCTGAGTATAACGAGCTACTGGTCGAACTTACGGACTTCAACAACAAGACGGTCAACGCTCATTACCACACGTTTCGGGTTGGAAACGAGGACGAAAGTTACATTTTGAAGTTGTTGGATGGGTTTACGGGTGACGCTAAAGATTCGCTGTTTTACCAGAAAGGAATGAAGTTTAGTACGAGAGATAAAGATAACGATAATTATAGTGGAGCTTGTGCCACTGAGTATAGTAAGTACCTATCACTTTGTAATGATTTTTGTGATAGAGTCAATTGTAGCTGGAGCCTGGTGGTACAATAGCTGCCTGTGGAGCAACTTGAATGGTCAGTACTTGAGAGGGCAGGTGAAACCGGAATTTAATCACAAGGGGATGATATGGTCGACGTTCCACGGGTCGAATTACAGTTTAAGGAAAGCCAGAATGATGGTCAGACCCAGGAAATAAGGTTTTTTCTCTTCTTTGTACTTGTTTTTAGTTATTTTTTGTCTTGTCCTCTTGAGTAATTCTCACTCATTATAATAAAAGATATGCAATCTTTAGGCTGTTTATTCAAGATTAATCGTTAACTGTTCACATTCGTCACACTTGTGTACAAAATTTTCTACATTTTCTTAATTCTAACGAACATAAATATTTCTTGTCCTTTTTGCAATTTTGATTGTAGTCAAAAGTGCCCCGCCCACCCACCTTTAATCCGCTTTGGCCACTAATTTTATTGGTTCTGAAGCAGGGATTCGATCCTATTTGATAAATAATAATAGGAGTAGAATCTAGGATTTTTTCTACTAATGGTTTAACAGATTTATCAAGACTTTAATAAGGTAATAACGTTGGTATTAATTAACAATATTAAGATTAGTCATTAGATTGAAGTGGGGGTGGGGGGCGGGGCTACTCTTGCTTATCTGACTGTATGTAGAGAAATGCTAAACTTAGCCCCGCCCACCTCTTTCTCTATTTCACTCAGTTACTTTAGTCACTGTAAAATGGGAATTCATTTCAATTTTGACAAGCGGTAGAACCTAAAGTTTAAAACAAAGTCAAGTGGCCTCGACCACCCACCCTCCGAGACGGAGGTTGGATTCTATTTTGATAAATAATAGAATCTAGGATATTTTTCGAAAAAAAATTACTTTTATTAAATTTTCATTTTTGTCAAATAACGTCTTGGCCATCAGTGTTTACATTTAAATAATAAAAAATCGTGTAAAGTAGACGCAATGAAGCACTATTACAAACGCCGCCTCTCTTATTTGGGCCAATGAGACGATTTATTAACGTGGAGTTTATGCGAATGGGAGGAGCATCGGTAATATTGCTTTTTGAATATGATTTTATTTTGACAAATAATAGAACCCATGATTTTTTTGATAAAATTTTGTTTTCATTAAATTTCAATTTTTTCAAATAACGACTTTGCCGTCAGCGTTTATATTTACTTAATAAAAAAATATATAAAATAAGGGATCATAAGGTACAATTGTAAGCAACGTCCTTTCCGTCCGTTTTAATAATAATAATAATAATAATAATTTTTATTGAAACAATTTTAATTAAATAAATTAAAAATATTTTTCGTCCCTTTCGTCCTTTTTCGTATTTTTTTCATCATTTTTGTTCTTATTTTCCTTTTTCGTCCTTTTCCTCCTTTTTCGTCCTTATTATCCTTTCTCGTCCTTTTTCGTTCTTTGTCTTCCTTTTCGTCCTTTTCGGCCCTTTTCGACCTTTTCGTCCTTTTTCGTCCTCTTTCGTCCTTATTATCCTTTTTCGACCCTTTTCGTCCCTGTCGTCCTTTTTCGTCCATTTTAGTTCTTTTCGTCCGTTATCGTCCTTATTACCCTTTTTTCGTTCTCTTTCGTCCTTAATATCCCTTTTCGTCCTTTTTCGTTTTTTTGGTTCTTTTCGCCTTTTTTCGTCCTTTTCTTCCTTTTCGTCCTTTTTCGTTCTTTTTCGTTCTTTTTCGTTCTGTTTATCCTTTTTCGTCCTATTTCGTCCTTTTCGTATTCGTCCTTTTTGTCCATTTTCGTTCTTATTTTCCTTTTTCGTCCTTTTCGTCCTTGTTCGTTCTTTTTCGTCCTTTCCGTCCTTTTTCGTCCTTCTTATCCTTTTTCGTCCTCTTTCGTCCTGATTATCTTTGTTCGACCTTTTTCGTCCATTTCGTCCTTTTTCGTCCTTTTCGTCTTTTTAGTCATTTTCGTCCTTTATCGTCCTTATTATCCTTTTTCGTCCTTTTCGTCCTTTTTCGTTCTCTTTCGTGCTTATTATTCTTTTTTGTCTTGTTTCGTCTTCTTCATCCTTGTCGCTCCTTTTCGTCCTTTCGTCCTTTTTCGTTCTTGTTCATCCTTCATCGTCCTTTTTCGTCCTTTTCGTCTTTTTCGTCCTTTCCCACCTTTTCGACCATTTTCGTCTTTTTTCGACATTTCGTCCTTTCTCGTCTTTTTCGTCCTTTTCGTCCTTTTTCGTCCTTTTTCGAACTTTTTCGTCCTCTTTCGTCTTTTTTCGCCCTTTTCGTCTTTTTAGTCCTTTTCGTCCTTTATCGTCCTTATTATCCTTTTTCATCCTTTTCGTCCTTTTTCGTTCTCTTTCGTGCTTATTATCCTTTTTCGTCTTTTTCGTCCTTTTCGTCTTTTTCGTCATTTCGTCCATTTTCGTCTTTTTTTGTCATTTCGTCCTTTTTCGTCCTTTTCGTTCTTTTTCGTCCTTTTTCATTCTTGTTAGTCTTCTTCATCCTTTTTCGTCCTTGTTCGCCCTTTTTCGTCCTTTTTAGTCCTTTTTCGTCCTTTTCGTCTCTTTAGTCCTTTTCGTCCTTTATCGTCTTCTTTCCTCAATATCCCTTTTCGACCTTTTCGTCCTTTTTCGTCCTCTTTCGTCCTTATTATCCTTTTCCGACCCTTATCGTCCATGTCGTCTTCTTCGTCCTTTTTCGTCCTTTCTCGTCCTTTTAGTCCTTTTTCGTCCGTTTTAGTCCTTTTCGTCCGTTATCGTCCTTATTACCCTTTTTCGTTCTCTTTCGTCCTTATTATCTTTTTCGTCTTTATTATCCTTTTTCGTCCTTTTTCGTATTTTTCGTCCATGTCGCCCTTTTTCGTCCTTTTCGTCCTTTTCGTCCTTTTTCTTTCTTTTTCGTTCTTTTTATCCTTTTGTCCTATTTCGTCCTTTTCGTCCTTATTCGTCCTTTTTCGTCCATTTTCGTCCTCCTTGGTCCTTTTTCGTCCATTTTCGTTCTTATTTTACCTTTTTCGTCCTTTTCGTCCTTGTTCGTCCTTTTTCGTCCTTTTTTGTTCTTTCCGTCCTTTTTCGTCCTTATCATCCTTTTCTCGTTCTTGTTCGTCCTTTTCGTCCTTATTCATCCTTTTTTGTCCTCTTTGGTCCTTTTCGTCCTTTTTCGTCCTTTTCGTCCTTATTCGTCCTTTTTCGTCCTGATTGCACCTTTTCGTCCTTGTCGTCCTTTTTCGTCCTTTTTGTCCATTTTCGTTCTTATTTTCCTTTTTCGTCCTTTTCGTCCTTTTTCGTCCGCTTTCGTCCTCCTTAGTCCTTTTCGTCCATTTTCGTTCTTATTTTTCCTTTTTCGTCCTTTTCGTCCTTTTTCGTCCTTTCCGTCCTCTTTCGTTCTTTCCGTCCTTTTTCGTCCTTACTATCCCCTTTTCGTCCTTATTCGTCCTTTTTTGTCCTCTTTGGTCCTTTTCGTCCTTTTTCGTCCGTTTCGTCCTTATTCGTCCTTTTTCGTCCTGATTGGTCCTTTTCGTCCTTGTCGTCCTTTTTCGTCCTTTTTGTCCATTTTCGTTCTTATTTTTCCTTTTTCGTCCTTTTCGTCCTTGTTCGTCCTTTTTCGTCCTCTTTCGTTCTTTCCGTCCTTTTTCGTCCTGATTGGTCCTTTTCGTCCTTGTCGTCCTTTTTCGTCCTTTTTCGTCCTTTCCGTCATTTTTCGTCCTTTCCGTCTTTTTTCGTCCTTACTATCCCCTTTTCGTCTTTTTTCGTCCTTTTCGTCTTTATTCGTTCTTTTTCGTCCTCTTTAGTACTTTTCGTCCTTTTTCGTCCTTTTTGTCTTTATTCGTCCTTTTTTGTCCTCTTTAGTACTTTTCGTCCTTTTTCGTCCTTCTCGTCCATATTCGTTCTTATTTTCCTTTTTCGTCCTTTTCGTCCTTTTTCGTTCTCTTTCGTGCTTATTATCCTTTTTCGTCTTTTTCGTCCTTTTCATCCTTGTCGTCCATTTTCGTCTTTTTTCGTCATTTCGTCCATTTTCGTCTTTTTTCGTCATTTCGTCCTTTTTCGTCTTTTTCGTCCTTTTCGTTCTTTTTCGTCCTTTTTCATTCTTGTTAGTCCTCTTCGTCCTTTTTCGTCCTTGTTCGCCCTTTTTCGTCCTTTATAGTCCTTTTTCGTCCTTTTCGTCTTTTTAGTCCTTTTCGTCCTTTATCGTCATTATTATCCTTTTTCGTCCTTTTCGTCCTTTTTCGTTCTCTCTCGTGCTTATTATCCTTTTTCGTCTTTTTTCGTATTTTTCGTCCTTTTCGTCTTTTTCGTCCTTTTCATCCTTTTCGTCCATTTTCGTCTTTTTTCGTCATTTCGTCTTTTTTCGTCTTTTTCGTCCGTTTCTTTCTTTTTCGTCCTTCTTCGTCCTTTTTCGTCCTTTTTTATCCTTATTCGTCCTTTTCGTCCTTTTCCGTGCTTTTTCATTCTTGTTAGTCCTTTTCGTCCTTTTTGTCCTTGTTCGTCCTTTTTCGTCCTGTTTAGTTCTTTTCGTCCTATTTCGTCTTTTTTCGTTCTTTATCGTCCCTTTTCGTCCTTTTTAGTCCTTTTCGTCCTATTTCGTCCGTTTCGTCCGTTTTCGTCCTTATTTTCCTTTTTCGTCCTTTTCGTCCTTTTTCGTCTTTTTTCGTCCTTTTTCGTTCTTATTCGTCCTTCTTATTCCTTTTCGTCCTTTATCGTCCTTTTTCCTTCTTATTCGTCTTTTTTAGTCCTTTTCGTACATTTTCGTTCTTATTTTCTTTTTTCATTTTCGTCATTTTTCGTCTTTTTCGTCCTTCTTCGTCCTTTTTCGTCCTTATTATCCTTTTTCTTCCTTTTTCGTCCTTATCGTCTTTTTTCGTTCTTTTTCGTCCTTATTCGTCCTTTTCGTCTTTTCCGTGCTTTTTCATTCTTGTTAGTCCTTTTCGTCCTTTTTCGTCCTTGTTCGTCCTTTTTCGTCCTTTTTAGTTCTTTTCGTCCTATTTCGGCTTTTTTCGTTCTTTATCGTCCCTTTTCGTCCTTTTTATTCCTTTTCGTCCTTTATCGTCCTTTTTCGTCCTTTTTCCTTTTTATTCGTCTTTTTTAGTCCTTTTCGTACATTTTCCTTCTTATTTTCCTTTTTCGTCCTTTTCGTCATTTTTCGTCTTTTTCGTTCTTCTTCGTCCTTATTATACTTGTTCGTCCTTATCGTCTTTTTTCGTTCTTTTTCGTCCTTTTTCGCCCTTTTCGTCCTTTTTCGTCCTTTTTGTCATTCAGTTCCCGGACCAATGAAATGATTTATTAAGGCGTTATTGTTTCTTTCACATGATTTTCA